CTGTTTTCCCCTGTTCTCCCCCCTTTTTTTAGTTTGTCCCTTTGTGGTTTTTGTTTTGTTTTGTTTTGTTTTTACTTCTTCCCTTTACTCCTCCTCCCCCCTCCTATTGGGCTGCAGTGTGGCCACGGGGCTCCCACTGCTTCCAGAGCTGTTTGGAATTGGGAACCATAAATAACCATCACAGAGCACAAAATCCCCACCCTAACCATGCACAGGAAAAGCTCTTTTGCATCTACTGCTCATTTTGATAACCTGCAGAAATATTTTCTGGGCATATCTTCAAGATTTGGATCTGTACTCCCCTCACCTAGAGCTCCCTTCGCTGTTTCCAGAATTTGAGACCTTTTGGCATGGTGTGCTTGTCTTTGAGCTGCTGGCCTCACTTCTGGCTGGGTGATTTGTGTCATTTTTCACAGTTATGCATTTGTGTTTTGATGTTACCTTGGCCGTTGTGTCATCTGTAGCACGTTGCTCATCCTTAGAGCAAATGGGGTTGCTCTTCTCGTGTCCTAACAGTGGAGAAACGGATGAGAAATCGTTCTGTTTTCTATTTTTTTTTATGTCTGGTAGAACATTGGTGGGAAAGAGGAAGTGTCTGACTGATGGCTGCTTTGGAAGGTTGAGAATCACATTGATTTTCGTTGGAGTTTTCGTCTTTTCCATCATGACTGGGAATCACATTAACTTTCTTTAGGATTTTGGTCTTGTCCAGGATGGCTAAGGATCATGTTGACTTTGGGATTTGTTTTTGTCCGGCATGACAAAGGATCACACTGATTTTCTTTGGGGTTTTGACCTCATTCATCATGGATGAGGATCACATTGACTTTCTTTGGGTGTTTGGTCTTGTTCCCCACGGATGAGGATCACGTTGACTTTCTCTGGGGTTTTGGTCTCATCCATCATGGATGAAGATCATGTTGACTTTCTTTGGGGTTTTCATCTCATTTGTCGTGTATAAGGACCACATTGACTTCCTTTAGGATTTTGGTTTTGTTCACCATAGATGAAGATCGTGTTGACTTTGGGATTTTGACCTCATTCATCATGAATGAGGATCACGTTGACTTTCTTTTGGGTTTTTGTTTTGTCCACCGTGGATGAGGATCACATTGACTTTCTTTGGGGTTTTGACCTCATTCATTATGGATGAGGATCACGTTGGCTTTCTTTGAGGTTTTGACCTCGTTCATCACGGATTTGGATCACGTTGCCTTTCTTTGGGGTTTTGGTATCCTTCATTATGGCTAAGTGTTACGATGTAGAGTTAAATCATCTAATACATCATTTTCTCCTTGTGTTCACTCTGATAGAGCTTTGTGTCACATTTTTTAGAGCTCTCACGTTGTTAGGTGCAGACTTTGTGGTGAGTGGGCTCTCAGTGCCACAAATCCAGTGACATGTGTGGCATTGAGAAAATGCATGGCGTAAACCTCGTAGAGGATGATGAGCAGAGGCTGCATTCTAACTCCTGTCACACAGTGCTTTTATGCTTGATGGTAATTAGGCTTTAATTACTGGCTTTATTAAGCCCTGTGACCGGTCAGCTGCACAGATGTCAGCTTTTAATTTTAGGTATTTTGGTGTGAGGACTATCAAAAGTGTTGGAATTTGCTGTTTTTTCCACTGCTTACGAACCTGAATCATCTTTGTTAGATTTATCACAACCTGCTTGGCTTCTGGCAGGCTCAAACCTGGAGGCTTTGAGCTTTGTAACAAAAATGAAGCATGAATGGCCACAGGATCATGGCTTGGGAGCCCTGGGAGATTCCGTTCAGCCTCCCTGGAGGCTTTGGGTTCTTTTTCATATATATATTTTTTTACCTTTATTTTTTTATTTTTTTGCTGTGGCCTTTTATGATCTGGAAAGCAGCCCGGAAAATAACTTCTAGGAAGGAAGCTGGGTTCAGTGCCTCTGTAGGATGCCCTTGCATCCCTTCTACCATGAAAATTTAATAAATCTTCATGCATAATGCCGTGTGCTGTCAATAGAACTTAGTTCCTGTTGGTTTTCAGTGCAAGTACTGCTGTAAAATTCAACTTTGGACTTCTGCTGTTCCTGAAGGAAGTCCAGAGGAAGAATGTATTGTTAGCTTTATTTTTGTACCGGTGATTATCCAGTAATTGAGTTCTTTAATAAAATAATTTTGTAATACAATCCTTGGTTGTTTTAAATAACTTTTTGGTGCGTGGTGGGGATCTCGCCTGCTTTGCTCTGTGAGTTGTAACTGTAGTAGAAAAAATGGAAAATGGTGCTGAGGTGGCACTTGGAGCAGAGGTTTTGTGACTCACCCGGCTCTCCTCTAATGAACTTCATTAGCTGTTTTGGTAAATAGCCACTTGCTAAGGATGCTTGTCTAAAATTAGGAGCAGCTACAGCCAGCTGAGGATAAAAGTTCCCTCTTTGGGATTTCAGCTGCCATACCAGAGGTGTGCAGCCCACTGAGGACCCCCAGGTGATGGGGCTGAGTGACACATGGGCACCACACTGGGGCACATCTTACTTGTGTATAAAGGTAATCTGTCCCCTTGTGGTTTAAAACTAAGCTACTCATCTCACATCCAGTTTGGTGGTTGCTCATGTTCCCACTGTCGAACCTGTTGGCCTCCGCCAGCCCAACCCTTTCTTCTTGGCTCTCCCAACAATTCTCAGCCATCTGGCAGAGACTGGTTGCGTTTTTGGTTGTGGATGAGTCACCTGTTGAGCTCCAAGGAGTCTGTGCTATTGATGGATAAGACACTGGGGAGCTGGAAGCTGTATCTAGTGGAGAGCAGCAGGCATCCATCCTGCTGACATGTTGACATCAATGAAATGCCATTGTTTTTCATCTTGTACGGTGTAGATGTCCAGAGACTTGTGCAGCACTTTGTCTTGCAGGTATATTCCATCTGATCCTGGGTTCTATAGAATTGAGGAGCCCAGCATTATTTTGCAGTTGTTGTTTTTCACCTTTTTGTCCTGCTTTGTGTGTAACGGGGCATGTTGTGCAAGGAGCATGGGGCATTGTTGTGCTGGGCTTCCTCACCTGCATTATTTTGGTTGGTGTTGATGATTTTCTGCCAGTGTGAGGGTCTGATAAAAAGGAGTTTTGTGATGGCTGTAAACTAAAAGAGGAGGGATTTAGGTTAGATGTTGGCAGGGTGTTGGAACTGGATGGTCTTTGAGGCCCCTTTCAACCTACTCCATTCCATGATTCTATGACAAGTAATGCAAGCAGAAAGAAACCAGTTCCCACCCACTGTTTATTACGTAACCCTCTAATTAAAGTCATCAAATGGAGATGACTCGGCAGCTTGGGAAACTTCCCCCATGTCTGGGTCAAAAATACTTCCCTCGTGCTTTATTTATATTGCCACATCCTCATTGTTGTGTCAATTAATTCTTATCCCCACAAGCTTATTTTTGGCTTCAGCTGTTGGAGTCTCCTACTGTTTGGGCCCCAGAAAGGTCCTTTAACTTTTCAGTTTTCCCTGTAAAGGAGAGAGGACTTGAGGTAGTGCTGCTCCCTTTCTCCCTAGGAAGGCCAGGCTGATGTGAAGCACTTCTCATATTTGCCCAGTGCTGCAAGTTGTCTTTCCTTTTCTGGCTTCTTTCTGCACCATATTTTTGAGTGAAAGGTAAAGCATTAAGGTGGGTCTCTTGCCCAAGAAGCAAATGTTGTGTGTTCCTATGATGGCTGTAATGTTTAAACTCTGATAATGAGAAGCATACGTGGATGGAGGTGAGGAAATGTTAAAGACCTCCAAAACGCAAAATGCAGCTGCAAATAAAATATTGTGTTCTGTTCTCCAGGCACAAAATAAACCTCCCTCAGCCCCTGTGTTTGTTCAGAACTTGAACAGCCCCGTTTGTATGTAGGCATGTTTGTTATAAACATGTAAAAACTGTTTCATCTTTTAACAGATTTAGTTTCGAGTGTTCAGCTTGCATGGAAAACAGCTGCATAATAAGTGATGTGCTTCAAGGAGCAAGGTGGACAGGTTAACGAGCTCTTTGTTGGTCCCACAGAGGAGAAAAGTGTTCTTAAAATGCACTTAAATCCAGCATTCAGGTACTTAGGTAATTACAGAGTGGTCTCATCTAGTTTACCCGCAGATAGACTTCCTGCCTGAAGATGCCTAGGTTTGGGATAGACCATGCCATGATGGCCTCTGGGGCACTTTCCAAGCCAATCCATTCTGTGAGCTCCTTGCAGAACACATCACCAGCAGAACCAGCCAGCCTTGTAGCCAGGCCTGCCATCTTAGGTCAGAGCTTTGTAATTTAGCGCAGGTAATTGAATTAGGGCTATACCCTGTGACCTTAGCACGTGGTAGATGACTGAGCTAAGAACGTGAGGGCAGACAACACTGTTGGCCAAATGCTCAGGAAAGCAGCCATGGCCAACAGGTTGATCTCTTGATGTTGTTTCCAAATCTCCTGGTCTGTTGTCTCCAAACCCCAGTGAGCATCTCAGTGCTCTCTGCCAACCGCTGCCCTCTCACTCGTGTGTTCCTTGCAATGCTCCCATTATGTTCCCTTGCAGCAGCCCAGTGTAACAGTAATCCTTTCCCTCTATAAAAGAGGATTAAAAATGGGAACATTCGTACCTTAATTCAGCCTGCCAGGGCTGTGCTCTGTCTTTTGGACAGTAATCCTGTTGGTAAAGGGCCGTCAGCAAACAGCAGATCCTCCGGTCAAGCTGCTGGTGGGGTTAGCAATTCTTCAAATGAATTAAAAAGCTGTAACAACTAGAGAAGAGCAACTTGCTTAGAGTGACTTAAAGGCCACACGGTTCAGAGTAAAATAATTAGAAATTGGGATTTCCATGGTTCTTGAAATGAAAGTGTGCAAAATGGACATAGTGGTACCTTTCAGGATGCTGTTTGTCAGATGCTTTGCTGTCCAGACTCCACTTACATGCTTAATAAACAGGTGTGAAATCCTATTTATTTCTTTTCTAGGCTTTCTGTGTTTCTTGCAGCTCTTTTGGGTGAGATGCTGATGAGGAAGGCACAGTAAAAAACATGGGTTTGGTTTTCTAAGATTTTTTTTTTTTTTTTTTTAGGATTTTTATGCTGCCACTGTTAGCACAGGGATTATTTTTCCAGCCTAATTAAAAGGATAATTGCATTAAGCCACAGGAGGACGCTGTGGGATGACAAGAGGTGGATTTCAGTCCCTCCTAGGGCTTGAGTTACTGCGTTTCTGCCAGTGCACAACCACAGCCAATTCTCTCCATGAGTGCCAGAACAATGGGATTTTTGCATTTCAATGTGTGTTTCTAACAAGCCAGGGTAATAATAAAGATACAAATCAATCTTGCTGCTGATGGGTGGCATCGTTTCCTTATCAAACCCACATTATTAATTCCATTGAGACACATCGTTGCACCGGAATGGCATCGAACCCTATCTAAAGGTGAATGAGTGAATAATGTTTAACCTGGGAGAGCTGTCAGCAGGTTGGATGCTACGTAGAGACTTCCAGCAGGAGTTCAAAGCCTCATTTTAGGAAGGACAAAAAGGCTTCGTTTTGCATTCCCCTAAGAAAAGCCAGGTCTTGGTGTTGCTTGGCTGTGGCAGTGACAAGAGATGGATCTGGGACCCATCCAAAATGGGTCAAAACGTGGCTACAGTGCTCTGCTACGAGGGCTGATCAGCAGCAGTAGTTTAAGGCATGATTGCAATTGTCCTCGTGGAAATCTCGGTGCATGAGGTTAATTCTCCCACCATTGAAACCTGCTGATGAGATGCTCACGGGGTGAAGAAGCGCCTCTGCTTTGAAAAATGCATAGAGAGCTTTGTGCCAGAACAGCAAAACACGGTGGGAGACCATTTCAGATGCAGAATTTCCCTCAAATAGGAATAGGAAATTTATTTTATCAGTAGGTGGTGAGTGATTAATTTCTCATTGGACCACTTTTCACCTTAGGAATTATTCCAGGCTGTCTTTGCAGGGAGCTGGAAATTCATTGAAACCTACAGCACCAATGGAAAATAGGTTTTAAAATCAAACAACCTGCTGTGGTAAGTGCATAGGACTTACACAGGACAAGTGCTTTCTGATCTCATCCTGTAGAAGAGTTGCAAGCAAGCACCTGAGCAGCACTGAGCACTGCTACCACCTCATCATGGCTCCTGCGAGCTTCTGCAAGATGGGGAGGGAGGAAGGTAGAGCAGCAGTGGTCTGTGTGCTGATGGAGAAGCCCATTTCCTAGCACAGGTGCTGGTGCACGTGGCTGGAAACTACCACAGCACTGCAAGAAGAAGAACCAGCAGCACTGTTGCATGGGGTTTAGCACACCCAGATCACAGCAACCCCCGAGAACAAAGGTGCCAGTGTGATGGTGGTGGTTTCATGCAAAGCAAATGGCTTATTTACAGGGCAGGCTTGAATCCATTAAAGGCACATTAAACTCCAGATGCTCACCAACTTTACAAAAGGAGTGGAAGAAAGGAAGGAGGTGTTGCACATTTTTTTTGGAAGAAAAAAAAAAAAATCAGCTCTCTGAGCTTGGAGCAGCATTTCATTGCATTTAAAAGCGTGATGCTGGAATAGTGAGACATTTAATGTTGTTTTCCCTTTTTAAAGCTGGTTTTCAGACTAAAGTGCATAGTGCCAGAAGGTGCTGTGCGATGTGCTGTTATATGCAGGATGCTGTTGGGTCTGCAGCACAGGGATCAAGCTGAAAATGGAAGAGGGGAAACCAGCAGCGTTTCCATTCCTTTGGATCTAATAAGGAAATGAGCCGGAGGGATTATTTGCGGCTATGCCAAATGGGCCCTCTCTCCAAGACCTCTAAATTAACTTCAGGTGGGTCCATCACCACCCAGCAGTCTGAATTATGTTTTATGGAAAAAGCAGTGCTGAGGAAAGCTGTGCCTCGATACTTCTGTGGGCTGCTGCACTTCAGTTTTCTGCCTTTTACCCTTTATCATTTCTCAATCCTTGCTTATTCCATACAGAAAGTGGAGCTGCTGTGGTGTCAGAGCCCAAGTGGGGCCTCAATCTTCTCAAAAACCTTCACCTAGGAGACATTTTGGTCATAGCAAAGAGCATTCACTTAAAGAAAAGACAGAATTTTTTTATGAAGAAGTGAGTTTTGAAAGGAGAAACCTCCACCCAAAATGTCCAAGCAGAAGAAAAGTCTGGTTGCAAAACCTGAAAATACAGAATTTGGAGTTACAGTCCACACAGAATGGGTCTCAGCCCTTCTCCTTTGGTCTTCATTTACATGGTCCATGCTTTGCATCCATATAGAAATTATTTAAACATCCCAAGATGTTTTTCCATCTGTTTTTTTTTTCTTGTGCGGGCATCTCATCTTTGGTTCAGTTTAAAGCATTCATGAAGCAACGTTATCATGAGTTGGTGGTAGAGGAATTCCTCCAGTGGGGCTTTGTGTTGGTGTGGTTACTTCTACTCACACCACAGGTGACACTGAGTAGACAAGAGCTCTGTTTTCAACCACGTGTCTTTGAATTGAGCATAGAATTTAAGTTTTTGTGCTCCATTTCTGTTGTTTTCTGCTGTTTCAGGTGGTCAGGTTTTGCTATTTTGGGTTGCTTTTCTCCTCCAGCACCTGATATTCTTCCAGCCCTGGTGTCAGCAGCACATTAAAGGAGCCTCCATCACGACCACAAAACAACTGCACTGCGTGGTGAGGTGACTTTATCCTCATTTGTCTGTTTTCAAGCATTTTAAACGATTTTAAAAATACTTCTGGCTCTCATCCAAGGCTTCAGGACTAAGACACAGCTACCAGGAAATGTCTCCACAGGCATCGTCGTGATATCAGGGTTTCCTTGCACCTGAAATTGTTCAAGTTTATAAAGCAGAAGAGGAATAAACGTTCGTTTTCTGGAATGAGGAATGTTCATTTCTGAAATGAATCAAGAACAATTTTTTTTTTCCTTTCATGCTCTGTGCAATAATCCCTTTTCCAGTCCATCAGATTCATGGTGGAACTGTTTTGGGTGGCTCTTTGGTGGCTCTTCGGATGGTTCTTCCTCTGTGCTCACAGCCTGATTTCTACCAGGAATCCTGCAGGAATAACATGAAAAGATGGATAATACAAATAATTACCCAAACTTTCAACACACAGCTATAAGGCTTTTGCCCTTCAGATGCTGGAGACGTTTGGGAATTTTCCAGAAGGCAAACGTGCAGACATGAAAAGAGTGCAGAAGTTGGAAAAGTAGAAAATTGGCGTTGAGTGAAGTCAGCTAGCGGGTCAAACTGGAAACAATCCAATTTACGATGTAGAAATGAGTTACTGAAGCTTGTAGTGTTGGGATATGCACAACTGGGCAGGCTTCCGCATCCATTGGAGATTAAGTCCTGGTTTGTGGTAGAGGTATAGTAGTTTCTTGCCCTTTTCCCAGCTTCTATTTACTTTTATATAGCTTGGAATGATGAAGATGAGGGTACAGAAAGGGCAGATCCAGGTTGTGCCTGTAAAAATGAGAGCAAATACCCACACGTTCCTGTCTGCTCTTTATGGGCACCCTTGCGTTGATGTTGGTCACCCGGCTGCTTGTTTGCCCACTTAGGAATGCATGGCCCATAGTTTCAGTTTGAGTGGTATTGCCCTGGTTCAAGCATTTTTCCTCCTAAAGAAAGCAGTGTCAGAAGCATCGCTCATTTTGCAGTCTGGTTTCCTGGGGAGCTGAGCATTGGCTACGCTTTGTCACATATATTCTGGTAGTATTTCTCTTATGAGGATAAATACTTCTTTATTTCAATGGAAAGCACTTTATGTTGTATGGCACCGTGGGGAAAACAGCAGTGAACCACTTCAGACAAAGAAAGCCTAGTGGTTTGGGAAAAGCATGGCTTGCTGTGCTGCTCCATTAAGGTTTTGCCTGAAATCTCCCTTGTTCCCCCCATTTTTCTGTCGTGATAACAAAATAAGTTCATTAGAAGAAGATTATGCTGGATTTGGTTGGATTTCCAACCAAAATACTTCGTGTTGCTTCAATTCATCTTGGCATCTCAGACCCTTCCTTACTGGATGTATTTGAATTGATGCTTTTTTGGGTGGTTCTAACATTGTAGTGACTTGTAAGAAGGGCTGAGTAACACCTGGTTCCATGGTGAGTTGGATTGTGAGTGGGAAGGTGGTTGGAGCTTTAACCTCCATAGGTTTGTGATGGTCTCACAACTGCATTTCAGCAGATTGGAGCTCCCCTAGTGCATGCCTACCTAGGAAACAGCCTAAACTCATCTGTTGGGAACCCAAATTGAGTTTATCCATACAGTTTAAGAACACTTAGGGCTTCTCATAGTGTTTCCCAGGTAAAAAACTCACTTTTCTGGATAGGAGATGCCAAAATAAGAGTCTGTTCCACCATGAAGTTGGTAGCTCTTAGTGAAGCCATTCATTTTGTGATTCTCGCTATTAGAATTATAAGAGAGAAACCAGATTGGGTTTGGCGTGTTTGGCATTTTGAGAAGTTCAATACCACTTTTGGAAAGGTCTAGCTGGATTTCTTTGTACTGGGAATTGAGAAACCATTCCCAAATGCCTAGGTTGGAGTTATCTTAGGAGGACAAAGGCTGCTGCGAAAAGAACCATCGCTGTGCAATCCCATACGTGGAGCAAACCCATCCTAAAGCCCTGGACCTGCTGGCTGGAAGCTGTCCATTGAGCAAGAGGATGTGACTGCCCACAGCCATTTTGGTAATAATGTGATATTTGGAAACTTATTTGCACAATAGTGGGTTTTTGCTTGGTTCATCCTAAGTCTTCTGTGTCAATATTTTCATCTGTGAACTTCTTCTCATCTCCACTCAACACCGTATGTGCCTCTGGCATTTGAGAAGGAAGCTTTCCCTTAGTGCTGTCCAGGGAATATTCTCCCTGCATTTGAGATGCAGCTTTTGTTTCCCATTTAAAAAATAATTTAAAAAATAGCTGTGCTCGAGTCAAATGTGAAAAAAATGATTTTGAAAGGGGTGGATGAATGTTTGGAGGGTGGAACTCGCTAAAAGAATTGATTTGCTGGTTGTGGTGTCTTAAAGTTGAAGCTGCCTTTGAAAGAACTATTTTATAAACACCCTTAGTGTTCAGTACACAATGTTGGTGGTACTTCTTCCTGTGGCCTTGGATGTGCTTTGCCCTTCTTCCTCTCCCAAGATCAGGAAAAGACTCAGGTCATCTCCTCCTGCCTTCCACCAAACCTCTTGTCCTCAGTTTGAGGTGCTCTCCCTTCTCCTCCTTTCTTTCCACAGAGCATCCTACGTTTGTAATCATTCCTCTTGCAATCTCAAGTAGTTGTCCTTGGTTGGTTTGTCCAAGATAACTTTGGCCAAGAGCTCTTTCTCCTGGCATGGATCTCACTGTCTCATTTTTTCCTGTGTGGTTGGTCCTGATGATGTCATTTTTGGACTTATCATCAGCCTGATGACTGTTTTGTCAGAGTGGCTGTCATGCTGATCATTTGCAAAGCATTGTGTATTTCTGGCAGGATATATATGATAAAAGTTATGGCAAGCTTTGAAAGAGCAGAGCTGCATGTTGGCATGCTTTGGTTGAGTTGATGGTGCAGTGTACCATGGCTCCTGGCTTTCTCCTCCTGAAAAGCTGAACAGATTTCTATGGAGAGGGTGTGGTAAAGAGCTTTTAATCCCATGGAATTTGACCCCATTATAATGGCCACAAGGTCCTTCTCGTATGTGATGTAACAGTTTGTGATGTGCTGGTGCTTCCCCACCAATGTACAATAGATACCCACTGACAATACCTGAGCATCTTCTGCTCATATTTATGTTCATGCTGCATGCTCTGGTGCCCTGCTGACTGTGTGAGCTGCTGCTCTGCTCAGTGGTTTAGCACTTGGTTCCATTAAATAAATATGCTTTATATAATGCTTATGCTTAGGTTGTAATGATTTTGCCCACTTCCAGACTCTGGGCAAATAATGCAGCAAAAGTCATCTCCAGAACACAACTTGCTACCAGTAAACCTCTGTAGTGTCATTGTAATGCACGTCCTGGGATGTTGAGGTTGGATTATGTATTGCTCTTGAGCATCTTGAGCCTTGGTGTTAAAGTGACAGAAATAAGCTCCAGGTACTCAGCTTGGGAATGCCAGGTGAGTGAAGACCTTTCCTCCAGCAGTGGTGCCTGTTTCTGGTGCTGTGCTGTGTAGTTGGGAAATAGGATTTTTCAGTACCTTTTCTACCTCCTGTATTAGTAATGTCCTTCCTGTAGAAGTCCACTAGGGGAGGTAACCTCTGTTCCTTCCTGCTCACCCAGCTGGCTTCACCTGCTGTTCTCCTTATTTATGGTACACATATCCTTAATACCCACTCTGTGATCTTTCTCTCTCTTCCAGTACCTATTGATGGAAGAACACGGCGTGACTCAAACAGAACACATGGCCACCATCGAGGCCCACGCAGTGGCCCAGCAGGTGCAGCAGGTCCACGTGGCCACCTACACAGAGCACAGCATGCTGAGCGCCGACGAGGACTCACCTTCTTCACCTGAGGACACGTCCTATGATGACTCTGACATCCTCAACTCCACAGCTGCCGACGAGGTGACGGCCCACCTGGCTGCAGCAGGTAAAGCACCAGAGTGCTCAGCATCCTTCTCATGACATACCATTCATACTGATGTCACCATCTGTGCCTGGGGGTATCCAAGCGGTCCTTTAGCTTCCTTGGGATGCTGTGAATGCTTCCTTTTTGCTTCAGTTTTAAGTAGGGCTTTAAGATCCCTTCCAACCCAAACATATCATGGTTCTGTGACCCCTTAAGGACCCTTCCAACCTAGCCATACCATAACTCCGTGATGTATAAGGACCCTTCCAACCCAACCATATCATGATTCTGTGACCCTCAAGGACCCTTCCAACCCAACAACCCATTTAATGTCCCACCCAACCCATTCTGGGATTTTATGATCTTTAAGGCTCATTCCAGCCCAAGCCATTCTACATATGGAATGAAGAACTGTTCCAGGATCACAAACCCCTTCCAGTAAACCCCTGTCACGTGTCCTCAAAATTTGCCTTGAAGTGGGTCTACCTCTGTAGTAGAAAAAAGCAATGATAATTGATAAATAAGCACTCACAAACTGATCTGGCTCCTTATCTGTGGAATAAAGCTCCTGACCTGCTTGTCAGAAGTTGTGCAAAGCAGCTCAATATCGGCGCTTATAGATGCGGTGAGCGTCCCTGCTAAACATGCTGAGCAGTCAACCCTTGCTACAGACAGCTTGCAGTTGGAAGTGAGGACATGCCAACAGGTTGTCTTAACAAAAAGGTAAAATCTTTAGGAGTTTCTATGGAGAGTGGTGAAAAGGCAGCTGCTCCTGGATAAACCTTTCTGGATACGTACAGTATGAAAGGAGGAGGATTGCGTGCATTAAGAAAGCCCAACTTTAGCTGTTGGAATAGATATTAATGAAGAAGAGATAGTTGAGTAGAGGTTACTGCCAATGGCTTCAAGCTTGTATAGAAGTAAAAATGAAAGTGAAGAAATGGGGAGAAATGGGTAAAGATGTTCAGGTTGAGGTTGGAAGGCTGCAGTGGTCACATACTTACATCTGCTTTGTGAAATTGTTGAATCCAAGTGGTGTGAGGACTTACTGGCCATGTGTGATAGCTTGCTGTGTATCCTGTGTCCTAAAACATTTAAATGAGTTATCACAATGATCTGCCACTACACAGTGATATAAACTGAGAGTTAACACAAAAAACATCCCTGTATCTGGTGACTCCCCAAATGTGTATTTGAGCTGTGGGCTGTGAGCCTACTATCTCCTGCTGTCAGGAGCAGGGCTGGGCTGGGTCCTGGCTTCTTCTCAGCTTTATTCTCCTTGAGAACAGGCTGAAACACAGATGTGAAATCTACTTGAGTGGCAGTGCTCAGAACTTGTCTCTCACCATTCTTGATCACTCTTGGAGCTCTTCTGTGCCTGTACATTGACTCTCGCAGCTTCATGGTCCTGAACACCATCCCACTGAGCATTCCACTACCCCATTGAGCATTCCACTGCTTTGCTTATTATGTTTGCAGCCTCAACTCCTGCAGGATTTCCTTTTTCCTTCCCAGCACCCTGGTGGGCAGTTGCAGGAGAGTCTCACTCTAAGGGAACCCCAGGTATCCCCCTGTCTCTGGCTGCACTTCTCATGCCTCCCATACCCAAAGCTTGTGTACAATGCAGCTTTTCTGCCTAAATTGGCTCTCAATACTTAAAATAAATAAGGGTTTCCTGCTCCTGTATCTGCACCTTTGTTAAACACAAAGCTTTGGGGCCACCTTGTATGGCCTTTCGCCTCTGACAAATGGAGAAACAGCTGGGCAATCTGATGTGCTGGTGGGCAGCTAAGCCCGCAGCAGGGAGTGGGTCGAGGGGGGGCTTTGAGGTCCCTTCCAACCTAAACATTCTCTAATTCTGTGACCTTTAAGGTCCTTCCCAACCCAAGTCATTCTGTGGTTCTGTGATCTGTATGGTCCCTTCCAACCCAACCATTCCATGATTTTATGATCATTAAGATCCTTTCCAGCCCAACCATTCCATCATTCTGTGATCTTTACGACCCATTCCAACCCAAGCCATTCATTCTGTATCTGGAACTGTGCTGATTCACTTCTGTGGTTTCATTTCCAGGCCCTGTAGGGATGGCAGCAGCTGCTGCTGTGGCAACGGGGAAGAAACGGAAGCGACCACATGTTTTTGAATCCAACCCATCCATCCGTAAGAGGCAGCAGACACGTTTGCTACGGTAAGGACTTCTTCTGCACTCTGACACCTTGGCTTGCCTCTTCCATCCCTTCCCAGTGCTATTTGTGTGCTGTTCAGAGTCTGCCCAACTCGAGGAGTTGTGGGGCATCATTTCTGGAGGCCACGAGCAGTATTTTAATTTTCAGGAATGGGTCAAAGTGTTGCTTTGATTCAATCCATCACAGTAACTTTGCTTTCCAAGGCCTTTCCAGTGACTTTACAGCTGTCCTGAGAGCTACAGCCACATCCTAGCTCTGAGGATGTATCTACCAAGTGAAGAATGTCCCTGTGTTTTCCATTATGACATGATTCTTCAGAGTGCTCTGAGCATCTCTGCCCACCTGATGGCCCCCAAGGAGCTCTGGGGCTGCAGGACGTTCTGCAGACCTGTGATGATCACTGCAATGCTGACTTTAGGAACTATTTCTACACATTGACTGCTGCCTTTTAGAACATTTTGGAACACACCAATTTTTGCTTTCTAGACTGTTCTGACCTCAGTTAGATTATATTAAAGAAGTTGGGATATTTGTCATCCTGTGCTGCTTGCTGACTTTATCCTGCACACAGTTCATGCATGGAGGCAATGAATTCAGTGTCACCTTTTTTTCCCTCTGCTTCAAACTCATGTAGAGCTGGTGAGAAACTAAGCTGGTTTCCTTACATTGTGTTTATTCACCTGTTAAGTCCTGTAACACCCTTTGCATGTGACCAAAGTGGAAAGAAATGAAGCAGGTTTGGTGTTAAATAGTGCTTCCTGGGAGTAGGCTCCTTTTTCTTTTATAGGCTCATTCTGTTTTTCCCTCCTCCCTGTGACTCAGCCACATGTTTGCAGCATTTGTGAAGAGCAGATTTCTTTCTCCTTTGATATATGAACAACATAGCTTAAAGAAACTCCTCAGTAAAGGAATTACTTCTCCTCTCCTGCAACTGCTTTTTTTTATGATGTGTAAAATACTGACAAAATGCATCATTTTTGTACCTCTGATCAATTTAACAGCTCTAAGCAGCAGCGTGCATCGAGTGGGAAGCTGGTTTCTGATTCTGAGATCTCTACACATGCTGGTGGTGGTGCTTTTTGGTACTGTGCTGCCATCAGCAGGTTTCAAAATGACCAGGACAGATCCTAAAATGTCCTCTTATGTCTGTGCTCAGGTTACACAGTGGTGCTTAACGAGGTTCTGCTGAAGTTCCTGACACATTCTCTTGTGTTGCTTGGAAGTTAGTAAGAGGAGGAAGGTCTATGAAGAACCATTTTCTTCCTACAGAGAGCTCATTCCAAGGGGACTTGCTGATGGGGCAGGTGCACGTGGGCTCCCTGTGCTCTGCTGGTGCAACGCTTCTGGCTCTTGCCTCGTTGTGGAGCTGTCAGCTGAATGCCAACAGCTCTGGTTTGGGTAGCAGAGATTTGCAATGTGATGCTACGAACCCAAATGTAAAATAAGCTGCGTTTTCTGGAATATTGTTGAAATAGTCAAATTCTTCTCCTTACAAGTTCTGTATCCTAGTACTCTTGGCCAGTGACAGAATTAAGGACGGCAGGAGATGCACATTAGCTTTGCTGCTCTGTTGATTTCTCTTTCCACTGTGCATCAATGGGAAAAAAATGGAGAACAGGAGAACAGCTGATATTTGAGCTGCTCTGGGACTGTGGGGAGCACAGCAGGGAAGCACTGTGTGGCCGATCTGACAGCTGGGGCTCTGCTGCTCACCTGGTTTGTGAATGGGATGCATCCAAAAAGGAAGCTGACAATGGGAAGGGTTGTGTTTCTGCAGGGCTCTCAGCTGACACCTGCTTGCTGATTCTGTTTCAGGAAGCTCCGTGCCACGCTGGATGAGTACACCACCAGAGTGGGGCAGCAAGCCATCGTCCTGTGCATCTCACCCTCCAAACCCAACCCTGTCTTCAAAGTTTTTGGAGCTGCACCCTTGGAGAATGTGGTAGGTGTCTCTAGAAAAAGCCATGCAATAAATTGCTCACCCTGTTGGCAGGTTTAATTCTGTCTCAGAGCAGCCTTGCAAGCCTGGCAGTGATCTGAAGGTCATGTTTAAGGCTCTGGAAATAGAGGGTTTTTGTATGAATGTGAGTTTAGCACCGAGTTCCTGTCTTCTCTGCATAGTTTTTGGCTGTTCAGCACAGCTCCCCAGGGCTAATAACCTCAATTAAAAGTGCAGGTAACGATGGATGTCTTTGAGCACAGCATGCACCTTACCACAGACCAGCTAGCATATGGAACAGATCCTGATTACAATAAGTCTGACTTCTGAACTTAACTTTGATCCCACAAATCCTTCCACTTGGTGATGTTACCCAACATTTCATCATCACCCTTTCAATGCAGCCAAGCCTTTGGGGCTGGCAGGTGTTTTTACACGGCACTGTTTGCTCTTTCATCTCCCCAGTGCCCTGGGGAAGGCGGCTGGCCCTGCTGCTCACCTCTCCTCTCCTGTTGCTCCTCACCTTGTTTACTTGAGCTTAACAATTCCCCACAGGTACGCAAGTACAAGAGCATGATTCTGGAAGACCTGGAGTCAGCGCTGGCAGAGCATGCTCCTGCACCTCAGGAGGTTAACTCAGAGTTACCACCCCTCACCATTGATGGCATTCCAGTCTCAGTGGACAAGATGACCCAGGTAAGCACAGGCATGGCAGAAATTTGGCAGAACCAGAGAGAGATGTGGCATCCTACGGTCACATCCTGTTATTCTGTACCGGAGTTTGTCTCTGCATCTCCAGGGGATGCACTTGATTTCTTCTTTCTTTCCCACGGGATGTCTTAGATGTGAAGCTTTGTTATTGCTGCTTATTTTCTGCATACAGCAGCAGAGGTGCTCTAAGAGCTTGGGGCTGTAGGGAGCACCCCTCTTCACAGAAGAATGTCTTGGGTTGGAAAGCACTTTGAGGATCATGAAGCTCCAAACCCCCTGCCACTTGCAGGGCCACCAACCTCCACATTTAATACCAGCCCAGACTGTCCAGGGCTCCATCCAACCTGGCCTTGAACACCTCCAGGGATGGATGGGGCATTCCAGCCTCTCTGGGCAGCTGTTCCAGCACCTCACCACTCTCATAGTAAAGAACTTCCCCCTGATATCCAAACTAAATCTTTCCTCCTTCAAATTCAAACCATTTCCTCCTGTCCTGCTATTATCTGTCTGTCCTTTCGAGGAGTTGACTCCCCTCTTTGTGCTGCTTTTCTGACCTCCCATACACCATGAACAGGGGATGCATTTTGTCCTGCAGACTGCAGGTTTTTTTTTGAGCTCTGAGGTCAGGCAGGTGGCTTCTGCTGTACCATTTTGGATTATCTTTCTTGGCTGTTTCTTGTGTGTTCTAGATCATTCCCTCATTTTTCTGCTAGAACAGAGGGGGGCTTGCCAGTTGTTTAAGGCCACATCAAATCTTGGGTGAGATACTAATGGGGAACTGCCCTGGAGAAGTGGGGACTCCCCTTCTGTCGAGGTGCAGCCTTTTCCTGTCTTTATTTCTATGATAAAGTTGGAAATCAAAAATTGTAACATCAAGAATTGCTTAAGTTTTCTCTGCTTCTCTTCCAGTGAAGCAACATTTCCTCCAAAGATCTATGAGAAAAATACTAATACTTCTCATGTTAAGTTAAAAATCAGGTTTTTCCTTCCAAGTGTGACATGTCCTTGGTCTTCAGCAAACTCTGCACAATGATTTAGCCAAGCTAAGGTGCCCCTGGGGTTTGCTTGCTTCCCCCACTCAAAACTGTGTGTTCCCATCCTTCTCTTGGCTCATTTAAATGATAAATGCTTTCACTTCCTTTCTTCCTCCTTCATGTTTTGCAGGGAAAAAATGTGCCAACTGCTGATGCAACAGCACAGCAATGTAGGGCTGCTTAATGCTGCATGAGAGGACTTGAGCTGTGGTAAAACAAGTCTTGTGTTAGAAGTAACTCTCCTCTTTTCAGTGCAATATGATCACCCAGAATAGCTTTGTGAAGGTTTCTCCCAAGCTGTGGACAGTCTGTGCTCTTCACATCCAGCATTGCTGTGCTTTATGTGCGTATTATGGGCTGGTACTGAAGTCCAGCCCTTCTCCTGAGACTCTGGAAACAACACTCAGCCTCAGTTTCCCTGTATATCACATAGGGATGACGTACTGTAGATGTTCTCTTAAAATTTTAGAGCTCTGAATGCCTGGAGGCCATCTGAGGACAGAACTGACTGCACTGCAGCCTCCTTGGTGGATTCTCACAACCCAAGAGGTGTTCCTCCTTGCAGAATTTTCAGGGAGTAAATATGGTGCATGTGATGGTTATGAGGTAATTCCATTCCTGAAGAGGAGTATAGTTTCTGCCAGACTCTTAAATAGAAGCACAAAGCAGATATGCTAAATACAATGAGGCTGCTGTCATTTTTGTGCCACAGTGGCACAAAATACATTACTTTGAGAGAGTGGGTGATAACACTGACTGCTAAATCACTGCAATATGTTGCATGGCTAGATATGCTGTTGCTTTTTGTAGGAATTCTGATTCCCAGAGCTGCTGATACAATCCCATTCACTGTTAGCAGTTAGAGAGCTTTTCAACCAAGCAGCACAAAACCCTATGGAAACACAAAGCCTTGTGGAAACCCCAAATATTTGTAAGTACAGATGGAGCAACACCATGAAGAGGTGTGACTATGGGAGCTGCAGGTGTATGCAGGCAGGTGGTAGAGGCATCAGCTCCTCAAAGGGGAGGGTGAAGATCTCTCTCCTTTTAATTGCTCTGATCCCTTGTTGGTCTGGAGGGAAATAAAGGTGAGCAGGGCTGCTCTGAGCCAAGAGCATCACTCAGTTCAGCTGTGCAGGAGATAGGAATGGCTTTGGAACTCTGACCCTGGAAATGTTGCATAGAAATGTCTCCTTACTTGTACAGCTCTGGCATAGGGCATTAGCTTAGCAGAGCCCACATGTGCTATGAAGAAATGCCTGATTCTGCTGTCTTGAGTGGAGCTCCTGCAGCTGGAATGATCTGTAGTCCCACAGCTCCTTGCTTGGAGCACCTTATTACAACCTTGATGCATGCCTTGCTTTTCAATCCATATGTTAAAAGTAAAATAGTCTAAAATTGGCTGTTGAAAAGCAGCTGCAGTTCTTTCTTTGCCCTCTTCCACTCTCAGAAGCCCCATGTGCTGCTCTTTGAAGATACGTGGGGCCAAGAGAAGGCTCCCAGCCACAGGTTTTTTGCCTTCTGGATGCCTTATCAGGGCTTAAGCCGTGGATGCTCCTCACACAGGACCCCTTGTTCCCAGCACTTTTCTGTGCCGTGTACCATTGCAGATGATAGAATTGAGGTTAGTTTGCTTCCATTGATACTTGGACTATATCTCCAGTGGTCCCTTCCACCCCCTATGATTCTCTGATCAAATTCACTATTAAAACTGAGAAGACCAAAGGGTGTCAAGGAAACATTTCTTACAATTTCTCTCAAATTTTTGATGCTGGAGATTATAAAAGCCTTTCCCAGAGCTGACACCAGGGTGAGCTGTGGCCTTTTTGGGGAGAGCTTTGCTTGTTTGGTGGATGTTTCATGGATGGAGGCAGCAGAACGTGGCTCCCACAGATCCTGCTGGCTGCACCCTTGGAGATGTGGAGTCTTTGTCTCAGAAGTGCTGGGGTGAGGTCTCGTTATGGCACTAATTAGAGCCATCCTCATGCTGAAGCAGCTGATTGTCTCCCTGGTGGATTAAAGGCAAGCCCTCCTAACAAGTGCTTCGAGCTGCTGACCTCCCTAGGACGAGTAATTAATCCATCTGTTAACAAGGAGCATGGCTTGCAGATAGCAGTTGTGGGAAGAAGCTTTTAACTATTTTTGCACCAGGCAACCCTTAGCAGGTATGCAATGCAGTGAGCCATGTGCTCAGAGAAGTTGTTTCTTTTTTTTTCTTTTTCATCCAAGTACACTAAAATTTTTCCTGTTAAGTAAGCTCAGAGCCCATGTTAATTCTTGTAGCTGAACTCTTTCTGCTCTGTGTTCCTGCAGAACTCATAGAACCATAGAATATCCCAATGGAAGGGCACTCATAGGGTTCATTGAGTCCATCTCCTGGCTCCCACAGATCCTTGCTGTTGTGCAGGAGGCAGCATCTGAATGAGCTGGTTTACAATTTCAGGCTAACAATATCAGACTGGAACCAGGGCTGTGGTTGGGATGGTTGGGAGAAACCCCCCTGCTATGGCAGAAGCCCTCCAGAAGTGACAAAAGGACTCCCAGAGACACTGTCACACCAGGAATGTTTTATTGTTGTTGATTATTCCAGCATTATTCTGACTTTTCTCTCCCTTCAGATCTCTTCGTGATAGTTCTTGAACCTTAAAGTGTGCCGATGCGGTGTGTTAACACAGTGTGTGTCTTGCCTTGTTGATCTAGTTGGTTTAATTTGGTTTTGCTCTTCCATACTTTGTCTCTAATCTTTTCTCTGCTGAGATTCAGCAGAAGATGGTGAAGTTTTGTACATTTTCCTTGGACATTCAGTTCTTCTCCAGTCCATAGTTCCATCAGGATGGAAACTTTGTGCTGCCAGATGATGTGAGTTCCTAAAAACCCTCTGATGTGTTTTGTTTCAGGCACAGCTGCGAGCGTTCATCCCAGAAATGCTGAAGTATTCCACGGGTCGTGGGAAGCCAGGCTGGGGCAAGGAGAGCTGCAAACCCATTTGGTGGCCTGAGGACATTCCCTGGGCCAACGTCCGAAGTGATGTGCGCACGGAGGAGCAGAAGCAGCGGGTGCGTGGCTGTGTGTCTGCCTTCATGCTGGGCCAGGACCACTCTGCTCTCCAAACATGCACTTTGTTTGCTGTAGTGTCTGTGTCGTGGCATCATAAAGCCCTTGAAGGCTCACTGTCCCGTCTTGAGCAGGAGGGACCTCTACATCAAGGGAAGTGCTCAAAGATATGGAGCCAGGAAAAAAAAGATAGCAGGTGAAAAGGTCTTTAAGGGTATTACAGCAACAGATCCTGTGTGCAGGTGATGTTTCTACCAACCTGTTCCTGTCAAAGTAAGCTGCTATGGTGTGCACATCTGTAGGCTGATGTGAGCTGGTTGGGTGGGGATGAATGTCTGGAAATGGCAGCTGGGAGTGATGTTCTACTTAGTGGCTTCATTCCCTTAACTGAAGATTCCTTGAAAGCTAGAGAAACAGATTCAGTTGAGAAATTTGCCCTTTCCCCTGGCCAAAGGAGCTTGTTATGTGTCTGTACACAGAAATGTAATAGCTCAGGGTGATTTCTGAATCTTGGGGATGAAGAGTGATTAATTACCAAGAACCTTCTGTTTCTTTGAGAATTTATTGGAAAACATCCATCAAGACCCTCCCCCTCAAATAAGGAAAGCATGCAAAGGCAATAGCAGCGCTGCAGTGGGTCAGAAAAGATTTTCACATTGATTCTTCACTCCTTGTGATCCTGGCAGGTGTCATGGACCCAAGCATTGAGGACTATCGTGAAGAACTGTTACAAGCAGCATGGGCGTGAGGACCTGCTCTACGCATTTGAGGATCAGCAAACACAGCAACAGACCACAACCACACACAGTATAGCACACCTGGTGCCCTCACAGACAGTGGTACAAACCTTCAGTAACCCTGATGGCACTGTGTCCCTCATCCAGGTGAGTGAAATCCTCATCTCTTCAGTCCTCCATCGGGCTCTCTCTAGCAGCTCCCTGTCTGTCTGGAACTGGGGAGGACCTCCCTGCCCTGCTGGCCGTGCTATGTGCAGTGAACCCCAAGAAACCATTGGCCTTCTTGGCCACTGGAACACACTGCTGGCTCATGGTTGACTGTTGATCAACCACTGGGCAACTGTTGGCCAACCAAAACAACATTGGCTTTTTTCACCAGCAGGTAACCATTGGCCAGGCAGGACACCACTGGCCTTCTTGGTCACAAGGGCACACTGCTTACTCATCATGATAAACGTGTTGGCCACCATTAACCTTCTTGGCCACCAGGTCATACTGCTTAAGCTCAAAGAAACAGCTCTGTCCTCTCTCTTTCCCACTCCTGTCCCTTGCTTTCCTGTTGTAGCAGCACAGATGCATCTGCAGCTGTATGGCTGAGAAGACTAGGGATCCAGACCTGGGTTTCACTCATAAACAGATGCACCATTAATTAGGTGGCCACACAGCGGCTGTGGTGACCTTGGGATGCAGCCACAGGAAGAAAGATAGTGGGCCATTGACTTTCTGGCCCTTCAAAGTTGAGTTCTCCTTATGAACAAAGCTGCACATCTCCCAGATTTTGTCTTTTCCCAACTGTTAAATGGGGAAAAAATGGTAATTTCCAGAGCCAGTGTGATACTGAGAATGAACTAACATTTGCCAAGTACCTGGAGAAGAGTGATAAGCAGTGTTACAAATGATAGCTGATAAGCAGGGTAGGTTTTTTACGTGACTTCCATGCAGTGCTGGGAGAAGCATGACTCTACCTACGCACCGTAACATTCTCTATGGATGCAACACCTTGTCATCTGAGAGCATTTGAGTGTCCCTTTGCTTGTCCCTTTATTCTGCCACTTTCCTTCAGCTGTATCTTGTTGAATTCCATAGGTTGGTACTGGTGCCACAGTTGCCACACTGGCAGATGCCTCCGAGCTGCCTACCACAGTTACCGTCGCACAAGTCAATTATTCTGCAGTGGCTGATGGAGAGGTAAGGATCTGGGTCGTGCACATTAATGTTTTCTGCTGATCACAGAACAGCAAGCCTTGCTTCCCCACTCTGCAGTGTTAACAGTTAAAATACCTGTGAGCACAAGACGATGTGAAATTTCATATAGAAAGTGTTGAAGCATTTGGATTCAGGATTATACAAATGCAATTATGGCAAAAGCCTAAATTCTGAATTTCATACATTTTTTTGTTATGTATGTAATTAAACTTGTGAAATCTGCTGTAGCAGAAAGCTCAGGATGTTTCTATGATTCTGGGACGGACCCATAGGAATTATTGTGTCCAGTGAATCATAGAGTACCCCAAATTGAAAGGGATCCATAGGCATCATCAAGTCAAATTTCTAATGACTTAATGAAAGATGCATATGCACGCTCATCTATTTGTGTTGGGTGACTTCTGTGTGCTCTCTGGATGCTGACAGCTGTTTTGTCAGCTCGGGGTTAGGAATGGGATGTTTCAAGCCTGTGTTTAGCAGAAGGTATTGCATGGCTGTGGGCAAATCATGTGATTCTTTGGCTGCTGATCTCTGGACAAAATGAGAATTGATTGTTTTCTGCAGCTTTTGGAGGGGTTTGCAGGTTAAGATGTGGAGAGAACTGCTTAAATGCACATTAATGTTGAGGCAGTGTCAGGAACCAGGATTTCTGGCAGGGGAAAGTCTGGTTTGCTTTGTATACATGGAGCTTTACTGGCGACAGGTGGCAGCACAGAACAGCTTTGTTCTGAACAAGACCCTATTTCCATCCCAGAAGCAGAGGGAAACAGCCTGGCTTGAAGTATATCAGAGCTGCTTTGAGGATTTTCAGTACCAGCTCTATCTCTTGAGATCTAGAAGAAAGCTACAATAGAAATGAAAGGAGCACAGGCATCTAGTTCCTAATTGAGAGAATTTTCTTCGTCACCTGCTAAGGCATCCTTATTAGTGTGTTCAAGGCTGCTAGTGACCTGAAATGTTTATGGATGAGGATAGAGATGGCGAAGGAAAAAGATCTTCATCTTGGTAGGAATGCCAGCTCATGGACCTTTATCTACCACTTCTCAGTCATTTGATCCAATGCTTATTCTGTGTTCACATCTTAGTCAGTTTTGTGGCTGCACAGTCATTACATTGTGGAGTTCCAAGTGGAGAAAGAATTATGGCCAAGGGAAAAATGAGCAACTGAGTCTGGATAAACTCGAAGCAATGTGAAACCTATCAATGTAAAGGGAAGTAGGGGAATTAAGTACCTGAAATAGATGAACAGAACATACTCCATTTGCTATTTGCTTTTTTAAGTGCATCACTCCAGTAAAAGGAAGTCCCAGCTTTGAGCTCAAGTGGGGTTGTGCCAAGTGCTGGCCATAGGAACCCATTAATGGCTGGGAGATGGTTGTAGGGTCCACAATCTCACTTGGACCACGGTCCTGCTCCTCTGATGCTCCTTTAGCCCTGTTGAAGTCTATGGGAGAGAGTCAGAATTCTGCAAACGCCTCTTGGAATCATCTGGCTCCTTCGTTTTGGGAAGCAGCCACCCATTGATGGGATGACATCCAATCCAAAGACCTTCCTCTCTGTTTTTTCCCATAGGTGGAGCAGAACTGGGCAACGTTACAAGGGGGTGAGATGACCATCCAGACAACGCAGGCATCGGAGGCCACGCAGGCAGTAGCATCGTTAGCAGAAGCAGCAGTGGCAGCATCTCAGGAGATGCAGCAAGGAGCAACTGTTACCATGGCACTTAACAGGTATGCGTGCACATCCTTCTAGGTTTTCATCTCATGGTAAAAAGTCACAGTGCACAGCCCCAGTAAGGGCTTTTGCTTGCAAGCTCCTGATTCAGCCTGTGCCCAGGTGTCTGTACAGTGGTTCTTAGTTTCCACTGTAACTGTAGAAGCATGCTGAATGGAAATTTCCTGCAAGAGGAAAAGATGGGTATAGCTGTACTCTCTACACGATCTGATTTGTACAGCAAGGGTCCAGTTACAATTGACCTTGCTAATGAAGAGTCATAATGTGCTAAAGGTGCCTCTCAAGACACAAATCCATGATGCTGATGGTTGGAGTAGAAGTCCAAAGCAGTGCTATACGTGGATCATAAGTTATCAAAGCAGCCACCTTGATCCTGGAAGCAATCAATGGTGTGCTTCCAAATGCTCCCAGTATTTAAGGGAGCTTATGAACAGGAGGGAGAGTGATGTTTTACATAGGCAGATAGTGATGGCAAAAGAGGGAATGGCTTTAAAAGAGGGGAAATTTACTCAGGAGCAGAGAGGCCCTGCCACTTCTGCCCAGAGAAGGTGTGGGTGCCTCACTCCTGAATGGGGCCCTGGGCAGCTTGTGCAACTGGGAGCTTCCAGTCCAGTGCAGGAGTGGGGTTGGGGTTGCTTTGGGGTCCCTTTCCAACCCAACCACCCTATGGTTCTATGCTCTTTTCCAACCCAAGCCATTTGATAACCTTTAAGGTCCCTTCCACCCCAAGTTGTTCGATGGCTCTGGGATCCATGAGAACCCTTTTAACCCAACCACAATACGATTTGAAGAAATTTCTGTTGAATCACAAACACACTAAGAACTACTTCTGTTTGTGATCCAGATCCAAGTCCATCCAATATGTTTTCTTCTGCTACCACATAAGGCTGATTGATCAAGCTTTACTACTAATAGTTCCACTGTAAAATTGCCTTTTAAAACCACATGAACTTTTTAGGACACTGTAGGAACAACAACTCGAGTAACTAGTTATGGAGCTGCAGGAGAAAGCCTTCAAACCCACTTGCAGACTTCATTTCATCCCATCTCTAATAGCTTTAGCTCTTGAGGTGATGAATGGTGTGAGCTGAGGAAGTTCAGAGTCTAGAATCACAGAATCATAGTTTCTATAGATTCCAGAATCATAGATTATATAGATTTAATAAGAAGAAATGTTAAAACTGAAGGGAGACTCCTGGAAGAAAGAAATGGAAGAGCTTTCCAGAGACAGCTGTGTGTGCAAGCTGTGCTTGTATGCAGGAGGGGTTTTATTTCCCAGGTTGCTGCCACCCTCTTTCCTTAATGATCATGACCTGAGAGCTCACCTACGTGATGGGCCCTCAAAACTCTTCCATGTGGAAGGGACATACTTTTTGTTTTATGCAAAAAGACCAAATAACAGCAAAACTTCACTTCTGCTCAGTTGAGCAGATAGAAACTGCAGTTCTCCAATGGTTTGCAAGACTCGCATTTTGTTGGTTTTCATGGAAGCAGTGAAGCTCATATCCCTGACATAAATACCAAGTTCCTACAGGGTTGGACAAGAGCTTATCAGAAAATAGGAGATCAGGAACTGATAATCTGCAGAGATTCCCTTATCTAACTCATTGCTCTGGTGGGTCGCATATCAGGTTAAACAAGTTCACTTTTCAAGTGTTGCTTTTGGAATTTGTTGAAGATATTCCACTTTCCTCAGCATTTGGAAACAGTCTTTTGAATCTGACAGTTCTCAGGAATCAGAAGCCTCCCACTTTGTATTTAATTCAGGGCTGCTGAACATATTTTGATTTTTCCGAGAGAAGGAAGCAACTCGAGATGACTTGAGCTGTTTAGAAATGAAAATCCACCTTGAGTGAGTTCAGTTGGAAAGTGTGCAGCATCCAAGCAGGAAATTAGGTGAGAGGAACAGTGAGTAGGAAGTACTTATAAAACATTGGAGTCCATTTTATCAGAGAGTCATAGAATCATGAAATATCCTGAGTTGGAAGGGACCCTGGGAGTCTATGAAGTCATGAGAGAATGAGAAGGGAGCAGTTATTTTCCATTTTGTAGAATCATTAAGGTTGGAAAAGACAACTGAGATCAAGTCCAACCATCAAGCCATCACCACCATGCCTGTTAACCAAGTCCCTCATTTCTGGCAAAATCAGACTTAACAGCAAGACTGAGATGGTAGTTTTTTTGGACAAGATGTTGTGGAAGCAAAAAATATATACAAAATTAGGCTTCAAAGGGGTGGTCCAGGTGCTGACTGTGCTGTGTGGAAATCAATACTGACTGCTGGAAGCTGAGAAGGTATAGGAAGGGTAAGATTGTATATGGATCCTAAATACCTGATACTGGCTGCTCTCACAGCAGGGTTGCTGCATTAGAAAGGCCTTTGGTATGACCTCATTTGTATAAAGAAACTCAAGCACGCCATGCTTAGCTACCAATCACTCATTAAAAAGAATTATTAAACCACGTGGCTTGGGAGAAGCACTGTATCTTGGCTAAATTGAGAGCTGCTGATGTGTTCCTGGTAGTGGTGAAGTTCTGGGCAAGGTAAAATTAGTAATGAAGGTGGAGCTGTAAAATCTGGAGAGATTCAGTGGCAAAAAAAAAAAAAAGAGTTTTGTGCCCAGATCCAGAGTCATGAGGGAGCCATGTGATGGAATGTCCTTAGATTGTCCAAAAGCTTTTTGTAAAGCCCACACAAAGAGATGGATATTCTGGTAGGCAAGCTGTCAAAAAGCTACTGGAAGCAGCTTATTGCCATGTAGTCCTCCTCAACTGTAGATTTCCCATTCTGAGTAACTTCTGCTGTCTGTGATGAGGATCCCTTCTTGCTGTGTTTGTTCCACTGACACGCAGTGCCTGATGAAAATGGATCCTGCTGGAGCAGAGTGTTTGGTTTGTCTTTCTTCCTAAATCTCCTCTCTCCTCTCCCATGCAGTGAAGCAGCTGCCCACGCCGTAGCCACACTGGCTGAAGCCACTCTTCAGGGTGGAGGACAGATCGTCCTATCTGGTGAAACTGCAGCAGCAGTAGGAGCACTCACTGGAGTCCAAGATGCCAATGGTAAGGCTGCTGGAAAGCTGTTGTTTTGTTTTTGTTTTACTTTTAGTTTTGTTTCCTCTCTTAGCCAAAGTTTTTCCTCTCTATTTTTAATGTCAAGTTGTCCCTAGTGAAAGAATTCTGTGGGTTATAACTTAAAAGCCTGGAGCTGAATGGTAGTGTTGACCTCTTGTTTGCTCCCCATAGTGCTGGGGATTTGCTATCCTCCTCCTTTAAGGTTTTATGGAAGAAGATTGCTCTCATTCTGTCTTTGCACAGTGTCCAGAACTTGGTCAGTACAGCTACTTGGTGCTGTAGTAATCTCATCTCCAAAATGCTTTGCTGTAGAGTGGCAGCAAATATGACCAAAACTTTATTACACACTCATTTCCTTCCTTTCTTGAAGCTTTTTGCATGCTTGGTGGCTGCTCTTGAACAAAGCTTTTGTGCTTTGCTGGCAGATAAGTCATCCAGCAGCAGTCAGGTCACTGCCTTTCGCTTTCCATCTTGTCACCACTGCATAGTCCACTGCTTAGTTGTAGGGAGCTATGTAGTGTCTGTAATGTTTCTTGCTTCTTATCTCAATATCTGTTGAGCCAAGTCTGGTGACTTGAGTAGTCATCCACTACCAGCTCACTGTGAATAAAATGGTGCGTTCATGGAAACTGGAGATGACATTGGAACACACACGTCTTATGGTTGGTGATCATCCACCTCCTGTATCTCTCTTTACCCAATTTTTTGAGTTCAGAGTTAAAAATGGTGGGTTATTTTGGTGGAATAGAAGGAGGAGCATTGTGGGTTATTTGATGGAGTAGAAAGAGGAGCACCAAAATGAGGATGAGAAGGGTGAAGTTGACCAGATGACTGTCAAACTCAACTTCCAACTCAAATGATTCTGTGATTGTAAGTTGTAAGGAAACGTTGCCTTGAGGGTAGGGTTATTTGGGCTCTAGTTGCCAAATTGTGCATCCAGGTGGCTTCTTGCCTCGTTGCTTTGCATGCCAAGCAGATGTCTTCCTCTGTGAGACCTCAAGTTGGCTCCCATCAAAATCCTCATCGCGTGGGGTACCTGCTCACTGTAAAACATCAACAGTTAGCTGGGGATATGGAGGCCAGAATGTAACTCGTGGTGTTTAGTTTGATGCCTCTTGCTATGCAGTCAGCCAGCCTGAAGAGGGAGCAGAAATGAAGGGAAAACTCATTCCCAGGAGCAGGGAGTGCATTGGATATGGAGAGGGAAGAGTGAAGCTGTGCTGTATTACACTTTGCCATCAGCGGAGCACGATGGGGAGAGGTGGTGTGTCTGTATAGGAGGAAGAATCTGCCCCTGGATGCTCAACCCCAGCAGCTGACCAGATTTGTACGAGAATGTTAGGATCCTTGAGCAATCTGCATCCCAACTCCCTTTGGTCCACTTTTAAAACGCATTCACAGTGTGGATTCCTCTGGATGCTTCCCTTTAAACCTGAGTCACTCACCACAGTGTTAATACCGCTTTAATGCAAGTTGGGTTGGATGTTGGTTTTTTTTTTTGCCTTTTTTTTTTTTTTTCCTAACAGCACTGTTGGAAATCAGATGGGATTTAGAATGCATTAAGGGAAGAGGCTGCAGCTTTCCCTATGCCCGCAGCCCCACTCCCACCTCCTTCGATCCACTCTCCTCCCCAGCAGCATTAAGGGGTTGCTCTGTGGAGCACAGAGCCCCTGGAAGCGCCGTGCTGGTGGGCTCATCACCTCACCAGCTCATGTATCTCCCTTAGGGATGGAGGAGACGTTGGGTATCTGTTCCTCTGTCTCAAGCTGGGGGTGGAGAGCAGATGGATTTCCAGCGGCGCTGAGGATTTTGCTGCCCCAAAGCTTTGGGTGTGAGGGTGAGCATCGCCCTGGTCACCTCCACTTGATGCAATGGGAACCAAGGAGGAGATAATGAGGAGGGATTTGGTGCAATCAGTTGCAGGAAGGAGATGGGGAAATGACTGCTGGAGCTGTGGTGGAATGAACCAGCAAATAGCCCTGCTTACTGCTGCTGGCAGGGTCTTCAGTTGCCAACATTTTCAATTAATGCATCTCCCTGGGAGTATCTCACCTTCCTGTAGGCTCTTTTTGGGGGATTCTCATCCCTCAGTTATAAATTTTCCCCCGTCTTATCGATGAGGAAACTGAGACAGTGGTTGAACACATTTGGTTGCAGTCAGGTAAGGTGTTGCTCCTGATTTTAGCCTCTAGATATAATTACTCTTGCGTTTTATTCTATCTTAGTATATCTTTCCCATTCATCCTCTGGCTTGTGACCAATATTAAGTGACCCAAAAGAATGAAACTGGCTGAAAAGAGGCAACTTCTGCATGTTCCTATCTTGGAATCAGGATGCTGGGAGAGATGACTGTGCTCTTTAAGCTGAGGATGTTTGCTCTGAAAGCAAAGCATTAAAAGAATGTAATATCCAAAACAGGTGAATGAGACTGCAGCAGAAGCTGTCTGCATATTGAAAACGCTCTGCTGAGAGGGGACTGTGCACTCTGGGTGCTTTCAGGGTGTACTGAGGAAGGAAACCTGATCGGCCCTGGGAGGAGAGCAGACAGAGCCGTCCCCATTCTGCAGCCTTTTGTTCAGGATCGATCCGAGCTGAGGTCTGAAAGCTGCTTTGGCTGCAGCCTTCCTGATGTCATGCTTCAATATTGATGAAGCTCTGCCCACGTGGGGCTGTGCCACCCCATAAATATAACACCAAGCAGAATCCCTGCCCCAAGGATGTCAGTGGAACAGCCTCAGTGCATGGGGTTGACTCTGTTTTGGTGCCATGTGCTGCTTTTTGGACACTCTGAGATGAGTGTTGTGCTTCAAGCTCCTTCTTCCTGCTCACCCCAAAATTCACCCCAGTTTCTCCATAGAGAGATGTGCTGACATCGGGGGTGAGCCAGGATTATCGTGTCGTGATGAAAGCACACCGAGAGCATTAGGGCTGTGACATCAGCAGCTGGGATTAGCAAGCTCCAAGCAGAAGGAAGACGTCAGGGCAGGAGCATACCTTGCAATTAGTGTAGGATAAATGATCCCATAGCAGCATTTTGGGTGACAGGACCTTGCTGCATGGAGCTGGCAATTCCTGCAGCACGTTCAATAGCTGGAAGGCTGCTGGCAGCAGTGGGTGCCAGGTGCAAAGCCATCCCCACCCTCAGCTGAAGGGCAGATGGGAGATGGGAAACCCTCTGCAAAGGGCCCTCTGGGTGAGGTGGTGCAGGAAAGCAGAGGGAGATGCATGGGGTATAGCCAAGCACTGCGTGTTCTTGTCTGGGACATCCTTGCTTTGAAATATCCTTGCTTTGGGATGCCTGGGGACAGGGAGGTGCAATGCACTGACCCTTTTTTCCATGAGAAAGAGGATGGGCAGAGGCTCAGAGGCTGATCTGCTGCAAATGTCAATCTCCTTTGAATCAATAATGAATAAATTTCCCTCCTAGATCTTCTACTTTTCAAGGAAAGAGGATCCAAATGAGCACTAACACTGGCAAAGTGCTGCTGAGCATGAGTGGTCCTGAAGGAAAGGGCTGAGCTCATTGCAGCACCTTCCTGGTGAGAACAGATGTATATTTTTTTAATGAATTTAACCACAATCTGAAGGAGAAAGGAGGATGCACAGTTTTGCAGATGTCGCCCAGCAGAGGAATGGTGTCACTGGGAGCTGGATGGATGAATTCCTGAGCAGAGATAAGGAGAGCTGCTTCCTAGAGGACAAATTCCTTTGCACAAACAAACTGTGGTCCGAGTTAAATGCATTGCCATAAGCATCACCTCCAGCAGGTTTATCCTCTTCCAAACCCACACAGCTCTCTGTTTGCTTGGAGCCCCACCAGATCATTGAGACCTACTGCCTTTAAACCCACCGTGGTGGCTCTCCTGCATTCTGCTGCTGTCCTGCATCTCTCCTGGGCTCTAATCTTTACCGTGTGACATGGGGCTTTGCTTGGACATCTTGGCTGATGATTAGGATTTGTCTGCCCACCAACCAGGGCTAAAAATAGTGGCTCAGACATCTCCCTCTTGTGCTGTGCTCAGTGCTTCTCCTACCAGCCAGGTTCTGCTACACCAATGCAGGGACCAAGGCTGCTCCCAGCACACGTTTGGTCCCCTTTGTCTGAGTGGGATGCCTTTAGGGATCCCTTGGCTTATTGTGGTCAAGACATAAAACAGTGATTTTTGGGTGCAGTTTGTCTCCTTGAGTAGGGATACTCATATCATTTGATTCTGGAAAGAAGACTTTTTTATAAGGTGGGTGTCTTGGTCTCCTCTTGGCAAAGAGAGGAGTGCAAGGAAAAGCTGTTTTGGGTTTTGTGGGTTCTTTTTGCTTTTGCTTTCTTCATTTCCTTGTCCTTAGGGATTTGGTTTAGTAGGCAGTATTGGTGGTAAGTGGGCAGTTGAACTTGGATGATCTTGGAGGTCTTTTCCAACAGTAATGACTCTGTGAATGGGCATAGAGGGGATGAGTTGATGGTTGGACTGGATGCTCTTTTCCAGCTGCAATATTCTGTGATTCCTTTGCACAAATCTCACATGAAGTCTGATATTTTTTTTTTTAGCTCCAAAACACATTTGAGCTCATAAAGAAGGAGACATAAGGAAATCTTTGACTTTATCTGTTGCTGTCCCTAAAAGAAATCCCAACATCATTCCCACTGGGGGAAACCAACTTCATTAGGGGCAGAGATCCACTGCCAAGTATTTTACTACTGGATAATGTTGAGCATTTCTTTGGCCCCCATTGGTTTCAATGAGCTCCCATCCAGCCAATGAGCCTGACCCCCCATCTCCCAGCACCTCAGTGACCTTCCAGCAGCCCCAGCACCTCCCAGCTCCCCTCCCCTGGTGAGTTCTGACATCCATCCCTGCTATCAGCAGTTGGGACTTACAGGCTCCCCAGCTGTCACTGCCCTGCTTTAAGCACAGGCCATTTACCTTCCACGTGTCCTGAATTAGGGGAAATGGACAGGAGGGCTGGGCCTGTTTAAAAATTAAAGCTGATTACAAGGCATTAACATTACATTTAAAGAAATAGCAGCCCTCCTCTTCGGGCATGGTTGCAATATGTTCCCTTTTGTTCTGGACTTGGAGAGAAAACAGGGCTGCTATTGACTCTGAGCTGAGCAGGGCTTCTTTAGCTTCTCTTCTCAAATTTACAGCTGTTTGATGCCTTCTGCAGTCCTCTAAAGCAGTTTTGCTCTTGCACTTCCTTCCCAGCTTTGTGCTTGTAGCAGAAAGCTGAAACTCTCTGCTCGTTTTGAATTCTTATTGGAAAATTCAGATTAGATGACGCTGTCCATCCATCTGCTTTCTGAACACAGCATTTGGAAGCTCCTATTTGGGGGATGCCACACGTGTTCACCCTAGTGCCAAAATGCAGCCTTCCTGAGTCAGTTGGAAAGAAAATTTTATCCTTTTTTTTTTTGTACTTTGGGGCTTTTGGGTGTTCATGCAAGAGCTGGAGATCCCCCCAACCTTCATTTCTGAATTTTGCTTTTGGAAGCTCGTATTTGGGGAATCCCAAACTGCTTTAGTCTTATGTTCATCTTGGGTCCAAATGCAGCCATCATTGTTCTGTTGGGAAGGAAACCTTATTTTTTTTTTCTTTTTCCAATTTTGGGGTTTTTGGTGTTCATGCAAGAGCTGGAGATGCCAATTCTTTGTCAAGTTTTTATCTAAAGGCGATGAGCTTCTATTTGGATGGAAGAGGAAAAGCAAGCAGTGTATTTAGCCTGTCTCCCTAAATATGTCTTGAGGCTGGATAGACAAACATTTCCTGGTTGGTTTGCCACTCTTCCCAGTGCAGGACCTGGGATGTAAAATGCTGGAATGGGCAGTGAAGGAGCTCTGCATTGGGATGGGCTGCACCTCCTCAGCACTGTGCTGCTTTATTTATAGCTCTTGCCCTAAAGGAAAAGGCACGGATGGAGGCAGAATAGCAGCCCTGTGGTGCTGCCTGCTCCTCCTGACCTGTAGCAGATGTTGGTGAGTCATTGTTCTGTGCTTCCTTCTCCATGCCCAGCCTCAACCAGAGGTTCTGTGGGAAGAGCTGCACCTGCAGTGCTCCGTTGTGCCCACCCCAAGCCTCAACCAGAGGCTCTGTGGGCAGAGCAGGTCCTCCATTGGGCTCCTGCTGCCTTCTCAACCCAGAGCATGGTACCAGGGGAAGGACCATGTGCTGCAATCCCACCTGAGATTCCACTTCACCCTTCCTGGAGCAGAGCAGAGCTCACACCTTATCCACTGCATCTTTTGCACCGTGATCCCAGCTGACCCTGCAAGTTGGGATGAGCAGTGGGTGGTGATGGAGAGCACCTTGAACATCTCTCAGTTCAGATTTCAGCTTGCATCCTGCTTGGAGCAGCATTCCCTCATCCCCATCCACATAGCGACAGGTGAGCTCTTTGTCTGTGGCCACGTTTCTACTATTCTCCCTGTAGCAGCCCACTGCTACCCCCATGCTATTCATGGGTCTGGGGGAGTGAGTGAGCACAGAGATTACACTGCATCAGGGCAGATGGAGAGGGGCTCCTAATCCCCCCCTCACCCCTGCGTCACAGCAATCTGCTGTTTCATGGCAGCAGGGCTGAGTCCTCGCCTTGCTGGCAGGTAGCCCCATGGTTACGAGGTTAGGATACCCTTCCCTGCTGGACTTTGGGGTCTGAGTGATTGAATAGAGGCTTGCCTGACTCCAGGGCAGCACCAATATCCAGGGTTTAATGTCTGTCAGCGGGCGTAGGGTGCAACCTGATCCAAATGGGAAGCTGGCTGACATCCCAGCAAGCTGTCATAACGACGCAAGGCATTTTATGAAATGATATGGGGGTTTGTGAGCCTCCCCCCCACCACTGGGCATCCCACTGCAAGGAGCAATACCCTATAAGCTATGCCACAAAGCTGTGTTTTCCCAAGCACGGCTCTCCTGAGCACATCAAGGCACGGTTTGTGGGTCTGTTTGCTTATGAATTCAATAGGTTTTGTACAATAGAGCAAAGTTTCGTCCCTGTTCTATTTCTGAGCATGTCTAAAGGATTGTTTTGTGGCTGTATTTATCCTCTCCGTCGGTTCCCCATAGCAGGGACTCATTGCAAAGCCTAAAAGCACAGCCCCATCTGTCTCATGCCTCTGGGGCATAGTAAAGAGCCCCATCCTGAGCCACTCTCTTGCAGCCATGTGCTCATTGCCCACCAACCCTGCCAGTGGCAGGATGATGGAGATGGAGGGTTTTAATTCATTTCCCCAAGAGGCTGCACCGGAGACCTTCAGACTTTTGTTTTTCCAAATATTTCTGTTTTTCTTCCTGAGTGTAACCCATTCCTCGGCCATGCTGTTCTGTTTTTTGGGGTTGAAAGGCTGTTTTCTTGCAGCTCCTTTGAGGAAGGATTCATTTATTTCTTCTTGGAGATGGCATGAAGGCTTGGAGAGACAGGCTGATGGCAATTTGGGTGGCGTTGCACAGAAGGTTTGATGGCGTGCAAAAGAAAGGTAAAGCTGTCCCTGTAAGGAGCCTGTAAGGCAGAACCATTCCTCTTTGCCCTCTGAGCAGAAGGGAACGCCATGCTTTCCACCTGCAGTCCTCCTGGGAAGTGAATCGAGGGCGGTGTGCTGTCCCTGGCGGCCCCTGTCTCCCAGTGACCTTCTCAGCTCCCGAAGACAGCTTGGCTTTGCTGTAAAGCAGCTCATGTGACAGTGGTAATCCGCAGCTCGTCAACAGCTGGGCAGGAAGATTGCAGGGAATCGCCCTATTTTTCCCGTGCTGCAGCCTCACGCCATTGCAGGATGATGCCTTCTGGGCTCCAGCAGCAGGTTGGAACATATATACTCACAGCACTGCAAAGCTTTCCAGGAGCAAACGTGCTTCTGTGAGTGGAAGTAAAGCTGCAAAACAAGTTCCAAGAGAGGAAAAAAAGCCCAACGCTTTCGTCTGACATGACTTCCTACAAATCTTTTCCAAAGATGGAGTTGAAGTTGTTCCTCCCATCCCCATCGTATTCTTGGGTTGAATTTATTCTCTAATGTGTATAGATTTCTTTCTCTGTTGTGTTTTCTGGTGGTTAATGTGGACTCCTCTGTGATCCAGGGGGAGGACTGCAGTAGACCCATTTGGACTCTTTGCCACATGCCCAGCAGTCTGCTTGGAGAAGACACAGCCTCTAAGAAGGGAGAGAATTAGGCTTGAAGTGAATTGTGGCATTATTTGCTCGCAGATCATAGCAAAACTTTACTCTTTGTGAGTTTTCCTCCTTGCTGTCAGCAATTTGCCTCCGTTCTTCCTATTCCTGTAGGAAGGAGAGGTGCTCTGATCAGGTCAGGAGCTTTGTCCCCACGTCATCCCTTTTGGTTTCTCCACCAGAAACCAGTACCAGTGCTCTTGTGGTGTCGATATGTTCTCCACCAGGACACGGCCTGAGACAATCCCTCATTTCATGTCAGCCCTCAGAAATGGCCATCTGTTCCCTCTGCCCTGTGGTAGCTTTGAAGGAGAGCCCTCAGCAGTGAAAGGCTCTCTTCTATTCCCCTGAGCTGCCTCATCTCTTCCTTCAAAAAGGAAAAAAAGGAAAGCTCTGTGCTTCTGAGCATTAGGGGGCTCTAATTGGCGTGTGCGTGATAGGGCTGTTGCATTTAAAAGGTGAACATGGAGCTAATGGAAACAGTTTTATTGCTGGTGTAAATATAGCATGCTCGACTCCTTTGAAGTCATAGGGATCAGCAGACAGTGGTGTTAGTATTCAGTTCTGCAGCATTCAGATCCAACCTGCTGGATGCTTCCTATTGCTCTTACCCCAGGTATGCCATCGTGTCCTTGGCTAAATCTTCTTGGAGGACTTTTGTATGGTTTTAGTGCAAAAAAATAAGAGTCTAAGTCACTCTTCTAAATAGGAGCTAAGTACGGAGAGATTTGAGGGCTGCAAATTCGTGGTCACGTGCGTGAGGTTGATGGTTGGACTGGATGATCTTATTGGTCTTTCCAACCTTAATGAGTCTATGATTGATTCCATGCAATGAACAAGGATTGGACTTTGCGGGTTCTCCAGCCACCACCTCCTGCTCTCATTCATTCTGCCTTTCCTGAGAACTGAGAGCAATGGACAAACCACTGTGCTTGGTCCGGTGGGTCCCCTTGCACCCAACTTTGCAGCAGGGATGCTTTTGCAGATCCATTTTGTCACCAGAACCCATCGTTTTGATCCCATTCGTTGGCCATGAATGTGCACTCTGTTGCAGCAGCAAGGTTCCTGCTGAACGAGTCAGCAAAGCGCTGGGAAAATGGTTTTTAGCTGAAGCCAGAGCCTATCTGGTTACATATCACCTTACTGCAGAACAATAGCTGCTTTATACTCCCATGTGCTAAATGCTCTGTAGTGTATGCTAATGTCCGTGTTCACGTGTGATCTATGGGGCAGCGTGCTAACTTGGGAAACTCATTTAGATCCCAGCCCCTTGTAGCCCTAAAATCACACCAAGCTCCTCTTGGAGACCAATGAAGACTCAATGAATCTCCTCACCGCGTGCTCTGGGGACGCATAGAAACGCCTCTTTGGCAGCCACTTCCCATTCATTTCACATCCCTGGTTAGTGGAGAGCATTCTTGGAGGTGGCTGGATGGATTTTCTCCATTCTGTGTTTCTCTTTGAACCTCTCTGGTCCAATTAAGCCGTTCATCTCAACGTTTGCCAACTGCACTACAAATATCTGCAAGTATCTCACTGTGCCTCCCACGTCTGCACATAATATCCTGTATAGAGTCAAAAATATTCAAGTTACAGTGCCTAATATTGGGGTATTACTTACATGTGAGTAATGAATTAAACCTAGGCTACAAGTGTTTTTCCTACCCAATGCCCCCCATGACTGCAGCATGTGTTCAGCCTTTTACACTTGCATTTCATTGTCAGGCATCCTAGCAGCAGACTATTCAGGCTACAAGTGGAGCCTAGCAGAGAGTTTATCAGGTGAGTGGCTTTTCCTGGTGGTAGTTGTTGAATATTGGGATCTGGCTATCATTGACACAGCCAACACTGTGGTGTTTCTTGGGGGGTGAAAGGGCTTTGTGTCTCTCTTTCTTCTTCTTCTTTTCTTTTTTTTTTTTTTTCCCTTTCTTTTTACGCTGTCAAGGGGAAGACGTTAGGCTTTGGATATAGGTTGAGGTTGGAGCATTGGGCTGGAGATGCCATGGGGTGGGTTCATATCCCGCAGCCCCATCCCGTTGGCCATACACATGCCAACCTCCCTTATAACCATTACTTAATTAAATAATTAGTGAAGAGGGCTGTTTTAACAGCACTCGAGCAACCACAGGTGGGGGCTGTTGGGGGGCGGGGGGCGTTGTGATCTTTGGATTTGTAAAATTCATCTTTTTAAAGGTCACGGACTCAAGGCAGAGCTAAAGCAGCAGTGGAAAGGGAAGAAAACCCCACAGCCTCGCTTTCAGCACCCATCAGTTTTAAGAAACCATGGGCTAAAGATGGTAGCAGAAACCTAAGTACAGAAGTAGGTGCACCGTACAGCAGAGGAAGGCAGACATGAGAAAGCACCCATGGATGCTTTGCTGGTGCAGCCTCTTGGACTCTGGAAGTGCCTCTCTTTCTATATGCAACTGTCTTCCCCGTATTGATGATTTTCAAAGATGTTGCCAGAATTTGTTAGAGTATGTGCTTCAAAAAAGAAAAAAGAAAAAAAAAAAAGGGAAGTTTTTCGATTCAGATGACTTCTGAAATGGATTTTAGTCTTTTGGGTTGAAGTAATACAATATCACTTTTAGATGGTACTCTGCCTTCATTCTCACGGTACCCTTTAATAAAACCTTACAGAAAATACAGGATCGAGGCTGTTTTAAGAGTAAGAGTCACTCTCTATATACATTTCATAGAATATCCTGAGTTGGGAAGGACACATCAAGTCCAACATTTGTCCCACTGGAAGAGCCCATGTGGGTGTTAAACACATAGCAGGCAAGTTAGCAAAGTTTTTATGGCAAAACAGAATAGGGATCCCATACAGCAATTGCTACGTTGCCTGCCTCTCCTCCCATGAATTTAATGTCTGATGCTATGTAAGAGGAACAAGTTTGATTTATCTGTAGATGTTTCCTGTCTGTGGTTTCTGGGAAGCTTTGCACTGGTAGCACACAGGTGACACAGCTCTGCTCAAAAGGTGCTCCTCTCTTCCATATCAACAGAAACAAAGCTCAGAATTCCAGGTAGAGCGGCGTTAGGGGTTCCTGTACTTTCTCTATTTTTACCTCTGTTTCCTCTCTCTGATTGACCATGATAGACTGCTAATCTCATCAGGTGTGCCCTTCACTCCACAGCAAAGCCAGCTGATCAAGGAAGCTTAGAAGGGTTATTCGTTAAGCTTTCATCTCTGGAGCATGGTAAAAAAGGCTTCCCCTACATAGGTAGATGCATGGCATGCTCAGCCTCCTCCTTGCATCTTTCTCACTTCTCCTCCTCACCAGGTTGCCCTGGGTTTAGCATGGCTCACTCTGGGGACCCAGTGCTGGTGTGTGTAGGAACAGCTTTATTCTTCCCAGGTCTTGCTATCGAGCTCAAAAATCACCACCAAGGAGAGGGGGAGAGTCAGGTCACCTCACATAGGGCACAAGGGCTGAAGGCATGAGGTTTATCTGTTGGGACATCAGGCTGCTACTTTGCCTTCTTTCCCCCTCCCATTTAGTATTTTTTAGTAATTTTTAATTAAAAAAAAAAAAAAAAAAAAGTGAAATGGGAGTTATCCATTCCATCAACATACAGATGGAATGGGAGAGCCAGTATTTTGGATGGAAGACCCAACGTTTCAAGGGAGCAGAACGGGAGTTTTCCACTCCATCAATGTAAAGATGGAATGAAAGACCCAACATTTTGGGTAGAAGACCCAACGTTTCAGGTGAATCGCTTCCAGTGTTAAAAATAATGGTCAATTCTTCCTTTTGCTGTGGATGATTGCAGGTGGAGGGCCTCTGGTGGGTCAGAAAGGGCTGCACAGCCTGAGGTGTGTAGAGGTGGTGGTGAAGTACCGTTGGTGGAGGAGGTGTTGGTCATTATTCCTCAAATGCCTCACTGTGTCAGGGAAGGGATGGGCACAGGGCTGCCTCCTGGAGCCTTTCTCTTTCCACACGTGCTGGGTTTCCAAAGGGAGAAATCCATGAGCATTGCTTAATGGGTTGGGGATGGGATTTTTGTGAATCGATCGTTTTGCATGAAAGTATTGCAACTTCAAAACCAAACATACAACAACAACAATAAATCCAAAGTTAAAAACAAAACAAAGCCAAACAAAAAGACAACCAACTAACCCAATACAAGCCAAATCAACAACCACTTTTAAAAAGAAACAAACAAAAAGAAACCCAAATCACCACCCAGACCTAACGTAAAAGCCCTGAATCATTTCCAGGGCCCATGTTGGTTGATTGGCAACTGAGAGTGGTGTCCTTTAGCTCATACCTTTGGGGTGAGGATCCCAAAGGATCCTCATGTGTTCTCTTGGACTTTGTATGGGATGAAGTAACCAAGGTCCCTTTGTGGTGTGGGTTGCCTTCTCCTATAGAGGCAAGACCAAGGAATAAGGGAGATGAAGCTGAAGGTCTTCCAATTTTTGGTAAGCTGGGATTCTACATGAAGAGAAGAAGTCTTGGCTGCCTCTGAAGGATATCCAGAGGTGGAGTCTTTGCAGGTTCCCCACGTTGTTCTGGAGCTTCACAAACTTTATGTTTACTGATTGTCTTTTTTTTTTTTTCCCTTTTAGTTTCTTAATATCCATGCATACCTCAAGTCTGTATCTTACTCTTTCCTGCCCTGTAGAAGATGATCAGGTTGTTCTTTGCTGTGCATCACTTTTGTTGGGTTTGTAGGCTGTCCTGTATATGGAGGCCAAGGTTTTCCTGGTGCTGTTTCAGTTTCTCTGTGCTGCCAAACATTCTGTTGCTTGGAGATCCTCTAGAAATGGAGTTCCATTGCTAGAACTTGAAGCTTAAATTTAAATGTGCATTCTGGTCATTTTGGAGCAGGATTGTGCTAAGCAGACAGTTTGTACCTATTTCCCCTCTGCTAAGTAGGAAGACTGAAGCCAAAGGTCTGTGGATGAGCTGGAGACAAAGAATTAAAATTGAGGTTTTCATTCCTTTCATCCTTCTCTGTTGTTGGCCTGAGCTCTGTAAGGCTTTCAGAGCTCTATCGTTAGTCAGGTAGATTTGTGAGGCCAATCAGTGTTCTATTGTCTCTGCAATGCTTGGAAACAACAACCAGACAACTTTCAGCACTTATCCCTTTGGTGTCTGAGAGAACAGGGCAAGACTTAACACATCCACTGTGTGGGATCTGCTTCATCTGCTCAGTGCTGAGGATGTTTCTGGTGCCAGTAGATCCCCCAAGAGCAGCATTGGGTGCAATGGCCATGGCTTTTGTCTTCTGCTGGTCTGAAGCAGGCTTTACATTCCCTATTGGAAAAAGACATACAACACTCCATTGAGGTCTTGTCTTTTGGTTATGTTGCCTAAATTTGAAGGTAACCTGAATGATGTTGTGCTGTCAGGGTCTCCAAGGTGAACGCTGATGTTTTGCCCCATAAAAGAAATCCAAAGAGTTTGTCAGCGTATTGCTTTTGAGTGCTGCATCAGACTCCAGGTCCCAAATGCTGGAGTCAAAGCATAGTTTCTCAGTTTGCCTTTTGCTCCCTCACAGTTCTGAGGCTGCTTCCAGAATGTTACAGGAGATCAGTTCAGTCAAGTTGATGCTAGCAAGGAAGATGATTTTGCGCTTCATGAAGGAAGAGGAGATGGTTTCCTTTTCCAAGTGCAGGTTCAGCATGGTGACAGGATTCAGGAATGGGGCTGTTTCTTCTCTCTCAACCACCCAAAACTTCACTTGTGTTTGAGCTCCAGGCAGAAAGTGTGGCATAAGGTCATGCTGTCCATGCTCCCTATGGTGCAGAAGGATGCTCCAAAGCATTCATCAGAAGAGCCCATCTCTGGGAAGATCATATTGGACGTTTATCTCTGAGTGTTTGAGAGGTGCCCTGAGATCACCCATTCTTCAGTTTCTTCCACTCATTCTGTGTATTTGAGTATTGATCTGTGTGGTGGTCCAGCCCATCTGGTTGGCGGTGCCTTCCTTCTGCACTTGCTGTGATCTCAAAGAAGCATAAGAATCAGCAGAAACTGGCTCTGGTGTCCTCATCCCCTGGACACTGGATGGCCAATCATCTCAACCTCCTACACTTCTCCCCCAAAGCCCTTTGAATGGTGGTTTAATGCACCCACTTGAAATTTGGGGTCAGAACAGCTGTTCTTATGTTGCTGATCTCCACATCAGGTAAGGTGTCTTTATCAGCCACTGCATGATATTTGGCTTCAGAATCCCATGGCCAGAACCTAACTCTTCCCCTTCTGCAAGCCATAACGTCTTCTCTGCTGAAACAAGTGCAAAATCCTTGTCCTGGCAGGCTGCAGGTAAGCAAAAGCACAACCTAGGTGCTATCCAGAGCCTCCTGCTGAGGGTAGAGATGAACGTCATCATTTCTGCCAAATGGTGGTAGGAAATCCCAAATGGGCAGCTCCAGCCCAGCTGTGTCATCTCACTGCTCCGTGCATTATCCATCACCACTGCTGGCTCCTGTCCACAGGTAGGAGCAGCTCTGGGCTACTGCAAGCCCAATTCCATTTCTCCACTGAGGCTTTCCCACTCCAGCACGACTCGAGTTTTTTTGGAAGATATGTATTTTCCAGAGACTTTAAGGTTTGGGTTGTTTTTTTTTTTGTAATTTTATTTTGTCTAATGGATTTCCTGTTTTTAATACAATTGAAAGGGTCTGAAATCCATGCTTTAGATTAACATATGCCAGCTAGATTAGGGCTAATCAGGGCGCAGGTCTGAGCAGATGCAGCACAGGGCCAATCCTAGACCTGATTACAGCATCTCAGTGGTTTAATCGCCTCTCTCCCAAGGGCGATCATCTCTGCTTTAATACACAGCAGACTTTCCAGCCCTCGCCCTCTCCTCCTTTGGTTTGTCACCACTCCTGCCAGGAAGGCCACTGCGTCAGATGCTGAGATGATTTAGCTTAATCCTATGCAGAAAGGGAGCTGCGCATCGCCGTCTCTCACGGAGACCTCCCCAGTCTTACGCGCAATGTATCCAGGTTGTAGTTAGCCTTGGTCAAATCTTGGCTGAAACAGGCTTATTTTTCCCAAAGAAAACCCCCCTTTGTTTTTTCCATCTTGCCATATTTTGGTAATACCTCTCTTTCATAACGGTCCTCTTATGGCCAACTTGTGGATCAGATTTTTAATGCTGTGTGCTCGGCGTTTCTAGTGACCCTCATCTTTGGATTGGCCATGGGGAGCAGAGTCATCTCAAAGAGCTCCATCTCATCATTTTTTGTAATGCCTGTTGTTAACAATGGCCCTATTATGGCCAGCCTGTGTTTAAACATCATGGAGGGATCAGATTTTTAGTATTGCTTTATGGTGACCCTCGTTTTGAGTTGGCTGTGGGGAATAGACTCATCTTTGGTGAATTCCTTCGGGTCAACAACCTGAATCACCCGAAAGGCTTAGTTGGGTCATTGGTCTGGAGTAGGGATTTTGAGTGCATCCCAGGCCACATCTCCCACTCTGTGCCAGAACCTGCTTAAACAGAACTGTGCTGAATGTCTTGAGGATCTTACTGGGGGTTGCCTTTGAGAGAGCTGAGCACAAAAGTTCTTGTTTCAATGCTTTGTAGCCTAAAACTCTCCCCTATTAGAAAGCACCTCAGGAACTTTGTGTTTCTGCTGCCTCCACATCATTTGTAGCTGTTGATGTTGAGCCATACACAAGGAAGAGATTCCTCGTGGGGCTGTGAGCTGCGTAAAAGTGTAGATTACCCTTTGGAGAGGGGACAGCCCTTTGGCTGAGGCATTGCAAAAGTCCCTATCCGTAGAGTGCTACGAGATCCCAAGAGCTGAGCTCCGCCAGGGTCACCCACCTGGGCAGCATGATTAACTCCTAAGCTTTCCTGTCTGTGCAGTGAGTTATCTGGGGACACCGAGCTGCACTCTGCTGCCTCTCGTTATTAAATGAGTGCCCTTGGCAGGACAGAGGTCCCTGCCTGCCACAGAAAACTGAACCAAAAGGGATCCTGCTGCCATTTTGGGAAAGCTTGGTCTGATCTCTTTGGATTTTAAGGGCTGTGCCCTACTGTGCTGCTGGGGAGTTGGGGTTTCAGTGGTAGGTTTTCCTTCTTGCAGTTTTTCTTTCTACCTCTGAGCCTCTTCTCATCTCACACGGTGTGATGGGGTTGATTATGGGGCTTCTCTAACGTTTATAAGGGCTGAGCTCCATTAAGTTTGAATAATTACACAGGCGTGATGGTGTGGGTGTGATACCATCTATATGTCATGGGGTGGGAGATTGTCTTCTACCCTATCACTGTCTTCCTTGCAACCATCATTTTCTCCCCTAGCAACCATCTTCCTTCTCCCCTGCCCCCCACCATCATCTTTATTTCCCCTTAACCACCATCATCTTCTGGAGGTTGGTGGCCTTGCCTGTGTTCAGGAGGTTAGGACTTTGTGATCCTTCAGGTCCCTTCCAACCTATGCCATTCCATGATGGCTGTGATGATTCTTTCTTCACCCCTCCCCCCCCACACCATCTTCCTTTGCCCCTACCCAACATCATCTTTGTTTCCTCTCACCCATCATTGTCTTCTGGAGGTTGGTGGCCATGCCTGTGGCAGGACAGTTGGAAGTTAATGATCTTCGGGGTTCCTTCCAACCCAAGCCATTCTATGATGATTCTTCCTTCCTCCTTCCCACCATCTTCTCTCCTACCCATTGCCTTCTTCAATCCTTGACTTCCCATGAGAACTAAAAGACCCTAAAACCTCCACCGCATCTCCACCCCGTATCCAACACAACCCAAAAACCCTTTGTGTCCCACACCACGACACTCAACCGCACCAACCCCATTCATTCCTTGGCAGAACAACGTTCCGTCATCCCTCTCACCACCCCATTTCTCCTTTGTGTCTCCGCAGGCCTCGTGCAGATCCCCGTCAGCATGTACCAGACTGTGGTCACCAGCCTGGCACAGGGCAATGGCCCCGTGCAGGTGGCAATGGCACCGGTCACCACACGGATAGCAGACAGTGCCGTCACCGTGGATGGGCAGGCAGTGGAAGTGGTAACTTTGGAACAGTGACCATAACCCGCAGCAGGATCAAGATGATTTATTTTTATTTTTTGGGGTTGTTTTTTTTTTGTTTTTTTTGTTTTTTTTGTTTTTTTTTTTCTCCTCGTCTCTTATGCGAATAAATTTTTTTAACGCCTATCCAGAGATGCAATCAGGTGGCATTGAGTCTCTCCGCTTCGGAAGCAAAAAGAGTTTTGTTGACCATTTTTAACGAAAAATAACGAAGGATGCGTGTGTTAAGTGTGTCTTTATAGCACCACTGATCACACTGGAGCAAGAAGCCCAACGCAGACGGGACTTCCATTCTGAAGAGGTTAGAAAGGAGGAAAAAAAAAGAAACACACGCACATGCAAAAAATGCAACTCCTTGGGCCCCTTTCCTCCCACGACAGATCAGAGCAGGGGAGCATGGATGCTCCCACATGGGGTGAATTAGGTTTCGAAGATTTTAACGTGGACTTTTATATTAAAAAATTAAAAAAAAAAAAAAAAAAAAAAAAAAGGAAAGAAAAAAAAAAAAATAATAACAAAGCTCGGGCAAGGCTCTTTTTTGGGAAAATGCATTTGTGACTGTGGGGACAGCCCCTGAAGCTGCCGGTCCCGGAGCCCCGTGCGGGCGCGAGGACAGCTCGATGACCGCCGCGCTTGGCTCCCCTGGTGCACACTGGAGACACATTCTTCTTTCTCTGCTCTGAAAACCTGCCATTTCAATTCTTTTGTTGTTGTTTTTTTGTGGTTTTTTTTTTTTTTTTTTTTTTCCCTCTTTATTATTATTATTATAATTATTATTTCCTCTTCTGTCAATTTGGAACGGAGCGGAAATGCCTCTGGAGCTGTGCCGGGAGGGCTGCGGGGACGCGGGGACAATATGACCAGCACATGCCCCGATCCTTTGCCAAAGAGCCACGACCCCTCCGCCAACCCTGGACACTTGGAGACCCCAATCCAACCCTTTTGGGGTTCCCTCTGGAGCCACATGCCAGCCCCGCTCCTTGAGCATCTCCTACTGCTGCCACCCAACTCAACCCAACCCACGTCACCCGACGTCTCCCAAAGGAGGGGACAGCTCACGGGAGCATTTTGGGGACAGATCCTCCAGGACTTTCCAACAGGACAAAAGCACCCCAAAAGCCCCCCATGGTGCGTGCTGGTTGTGTGTGGTATTTAATATTTTTTTTTAATTATTGTTATTTTCAAGTGGCCATTAACGAAGTTTTCCGCGTCTTTGCTCCGCCTTCGAGGAAGTTTTCAGATTCTTGTATTTACTTGTTTTATAAGGAAAATATCAAATGCTCTTTGTATACACTTCTTCTGTACTTTAAATGAGGGGAGGGAAATATTTCCATAGAAACAGCCCTGGTTTCTCCAGTTTGTTATTATTTTTTTTAATTATTATTTTTTATCGTCGTTGTGAAGATGTCGGTGGCTTTCGAGTCCGTGTTCCTTGGGCGGTGCGATGACATTCTTTTAGTCCCAGCAGTCCCCTTTGCCCTCCCCCCAAAGAGACAAAACCAGGCAAGTAGCAGAGCATGGACCCCTATTGTTTTCCCAGTGTCTATTATTCAATAAATTGTTACAAATGTGTCTACCCACGCTTCTCACTCCTTCTTTGGGGCTTTTTTGAGGATTTTGGGGTAACTTGCCATCTCCCCCCAGGCACTCAGACAGGGTCCCTGATGTGGTTTTGGGTTTGGGGGTGATTTTGTGTTGAAGTTCTTCCTTTGTGCTATATGAGCTTCATCCTTTGCGTGCTTCCATCAGCACCACGGTGAGCGGCACCCCAAAAGCAACCATCAGGGTCAACTCCTCAACCATGCCATGATGGGATCAAGGCCACCTCATCCCTGCTGTGCCCCCATTATCCCAATCATTGTTTGAGCATCCCAAGGAGGAGCCAGACGGCAGCACTGAGGTTTAGCAGCTTTATTTGAGTATGGGGGGCAGGACCAATGGCTCTGACGTGATCTTGTAGGATCCTTTGTAGGATCAGAGCACAGTTCTTGCAGCCTGAAGACAAAGTGGAGTGGAGGATGGATAGAAGGACAGGTGGAAGGAAAGGAGGAGGCACGGGGGAAGTGATCTCAAAGTCAATCTCAAAGCAAGCAAAACATCCCAGCCCTGCTCTACGGGAAGAGAGTTGGCCCCCTCCAGGCTGGGGTTCCCCAATGGGCTCATGGTGGGGGCTCAGCCTGGCAGACGTTGCCCCCAGCCTTTAATCTGTGCTAATCGGGCTTTAATAAGCAGGTCGGGGCCTCCTGCTGGGGCAGCTCACCCAGCACACGACATTTTTATTCCCTTCCATCTCAGGGAGCCCAGCCTGGGCTTCGGGAAGTCCCTGGGTTTTGAGAGGGTCTGAGTTTTAGAGGGTCTCTCCAACCCTGGGCGGCCCACACTGTGACCTAGCTGGGTTTGCTGCCTTTAGCTTTAGCCCCAGTGCTGCAGTGTGCACAGCAACCCCAAATCACAGGATCTGACCTCAAAAACTCTGCTGTCTCTGGGAAGGGACATATTAACGGGGGTCTCTGGGGTGATGCCCACTGGTGTCTGGGTGCTGGGGGATCCCATGTGCCTTCAGGTGATTGCTGGGGGTGGGGACTATGGGGATGGGTGGGGCTTTTGTTGGGGTGTGGCTTGTTGGAAGGTGGGGCTGGAGAGGATACTCCACCTCTGATCCCCTCGAGGGAAATGTTAGAGCTCAGCCTTGGGGGACATGGATGGGCAGACGGATGGTTTGATGGATGGACAAGAAGGACAGGATCAATGACTTGATGAATGGATGGATGGATGGACAGAAAGACAGACTCATAGAAGGCTCAGTGGCTGTCTGGATGAATGGACAGATTGGTAGAGGGATCAATGGATGGATGGACAGACAGACAGACTCAGAGGGCTCAATGGCTGTTGGGATGGATGGACATATGGACTCACAGAGGGCTGGCTGGCTGGCTGGCTGGACAGACAGACAGATGGACTGATGCAGGGCTCAGTAGCTGTTGGGATGGATGGATAGACAGGTGATTTGGTGGATAGATTGACAGTGATAGAGGGACCAGTGGCTTGACGGATGGACAGACGGATAGACAAAAAGACTTGCAGAGGGCTCAAAGGCTGTCTGGATGGATGGGCAGAAGGACAGATGAATGGACAGACCAGCAGATGGAGCAGTGGTTGGATTGATGGATAAATGGCTGGACAGATGGACAGACTGGTAGATGGAGCCATAGCTGGCTGGTTCGATGGATGGATGTGGGGACAAACGGATGGATAGGCAGCTAGATGCATGGCTCAGTGAGTGGACAGACAGACAGGGGGTTGGGTGGGTGGCTTTACTGATGATAGCTGAGTGGATGGATGGAAGGACAGACAGACTGATACGTGGCTGGACAGACGGATGATGGATCCAACAAGCAAACAGTCAGAGAGACAGACAGCCTGTGCCCCCTCCTCACACTCCCACCCACCCCACTAAGCAATGTGGACCCCCACATCCATCTCCATCATCCTTCCCTTCATCCCTCCCCCGGCGCAGTGAGGAGGTTGGGAGCGTGCAGCCTTCACTCTAATCCCACATGATCCAATCTCTGCAGGCTTATGGCCGAAAGCTCCGTAATCACCCGGCGCTGCCCTACATATCCCCACCACCCCCCATCCAAACCCAGCCAGGAGCAAGGAACCCCCCCTCCCCACCCCAATGTGCAAACCCCACCCTGCACCACCCCTCCCCAAAATGCTGTCATCGTCCCTCCTGCACTTGGGAACAGACAGGGACATATGGCAGCAGGGGCACATGGCAGCATTGCTCGTGCCTCAGTTTCCCTCCCATCCCATAAGCTGGCACTGGCAAGATGTGGGGCAGGAGCCACCTAATCCACCCCCCCTCCCCATGTCGCAGGGACGGATCAGCGCTTAATGCCTGGAGTCAAGCGGGGACACAAGGCCAAGATGCTCCAATGACCGCTTTCCAGCAGGACCCTCCCCTCTATGAGGACATTTCCATGGTTGCCCCCCAAACCTTCCAAAAAACAGCACATCTGGAACCCAAGCCCACTGTCCCCATGGCTGGGCACTCCCTAAAGATCCAGACTTGGAACGCACAAATGGAGCGGGACACTGTAACAACCCCCTTCTTACAGCCATGGGTGCTGGGGGGATCAAGGGGGATGTGTCCGTGGCATTTCCCGGGGCTGTAGTTGGCAAGTCTAGAACCACCGGATCCTGCGAGCGCACCAGTGTGAGTTCTACCATTGCCAAAAGCAGCCAGGACGGGAAGAAGGCAGTGATGGGCTTGGGAAGCTGCAAAAAGAAACCCAAACCCAACCCCGAACCAAAAATTAAAATTGAAATTAAATTAAAAAAAAAAGGAAAATCTCCTCCTTCCACCCTCAGGAAATCCCTCTTGGGACTGAACATCATCCCAAAGCTGTTTCACAGATGCTCCATGTGCTGAAAACCCCATACCATCATCATTCAGATGTGCATCATATCTCCTAAAAAGGACCCAATTGATGTGAGTTCCCCCCTCCTCGTGTCGGACCCCAGGATGAAAGCACCAAAATTTTGGGTTTCCATCTCTCCAAGGCTTTCCCTGCTCTCACCACCACCCCAAATCCACCCCAAAGCCAACCCTCCATCACCAAATCCATCCATCACTAAATCCATACATCCATCACCAAATCCACTCATCCCAAATCCATCCATCCCAAAATCCATCCCTCCCAAATCCGTCCCTCCATAACCAAATCTATCTATCCATTGGCAAATCCATCCATTCATCACCAAGTCCATCCATCACAAACCCATCTATCCATTGCCAAATCAATCCATCCATCACCAAATCCATCCATCACCAAGTCTATCCATCCCAAATCTATCCATCCATCACCAAATCCATCCATCACCAAGTCTATCCATCCCAAATCTATCCATCCATCCCAAACCCATCCATCCATCACCAAATCCATCCATCACCAAGTCTATCCATCCCAAAGCCATCCACCCATCATCAAATTCATCAATCCATTGCCAAATCCGTCTTTTTGCCAAACCCATCCCTCCATCACCAAATCCATCCATCCATTAGGGTCGTGCAATGGGAAAATGGCAAAAAATAACACATCCCCTCCCACCCCGTGGTGCTCTCTCCGCCTTCTCCCATATTGGCACTACACATAATTGCTCAAAACACATAAAGCAAAGCAAAAATGTGCTAGTGCCAAAGCGGGCCGGGCGGAACGGCGGCCCCGCGGGGCTCGCGGGTCTTTCTCTGCTCTGTTTATGGCCCTATGGTAATTCACTGACCGCGGGGTTGCACAGTGAATTCTACCAGTGCCATACACAGAACAGGAGTAGCGAGCTCGCACCCTCCCATTTCCACCTGGTTTTACCCCAAAACTCCTCCCCAATCAGTGCTCCAAGAACGATGAGCCCAGTGCCGGCAAGTCCCACTGGCTGCAAATATCCTACAAGGCTGCAAACAT